GTGAATTCTCAAGAAAAATATTAGGCAAGTCCTCTGCAGAACATGAAAATAAGCTGTGTGAGAGTCACAGAGCAGCTAATTTGAGGTAGGTGATGAGGATGGCAAAATTTTTTGGAAAAGTGAGCTTTCTGGAACTTTGGTGTGTCCAATTGCTGCAGTGGCCTTGAGCCAGGCTGGCTCTTCTGCCTGAACATTCCGGATTCAGATGCAACTGCAACATGTCACCTCAGCCAAGTGACAGCACTCCCTGCTTGCTCCTAACCACCTAGTTCAGACAAGCAGGAAGAAGTTAAGTTGCCATCTCTACCTCTACCCTAAAGCAGGAGTCCCTTTGTCCACCCCTGCAGAACTGTGGGAGGGTATAGAGTTCCCTTAGCTCTCAATTCTCCCCTTTCACCATGTCATTGTGGAAAAACACTAGCTTTGTCCAAAATGAATGGATTTACCTTGCAGGAATTATACTGTCTGTCTGTCACTAATCTCTAAAATAGGGAGCCCAGATTCCTCTCCCACCCCGTGTTTTAATATCTCCATCCACAGGATTCTACATCTTGTTATTGTCTGTTCTCTTCCTTTATGCAGCCTGAGTGTGTGCCTTGATGCTCAGGAACTCTTCTGAGTGATGTTTCAATTGAAACTGATGAGGAGGAAATAACATGTCACAGTAAGGGAAACAGAGATATAATTTTTGAGTAAGGCAGTCTGTGTTGGGTTTTTCTGACTCAGCCTGAGGATGAGGGAACAGAAAGCTGATTCCAACCCCACAACATCACAATTAGCTTCTACTCTCTTTTTTTCACAGCTTCCCACTAGCAGTGCTTACAGGACAGAACACAGCCCAAATCAGAGCATCATCCAGAACTATCAGGGGGTCAGTGGTCCCAAAGTCACACTTTGTCACCATGTGCAATTCATTAGAGGTACCAGCAGGACCAGAGAGGGCCCCCTCTACACATCCACTGTACCCTGAATCAATGCCTTCTCACCCTGCTTTGCAACTCTTGCTTCATTCTGCTAGATGCTGGGTCTTTCAGGACTTGACTTCTGCCTTTTTCTTGGCCCCCGACATGTGATCTGGACAAGGATGGGAGCTCAGAGTCCTCTGTGCCTATCAGTCCCCAGCTCTGTCCTGAGATGCCACCTTTCTCATTTGATCACCATGAAGCTCCTGAATGGTCTCCCTCCTCCCTGTAATCTATTCTCAACCTAGAAGCCAAATGGATGTGCTCAGAATGCAAGCCGGCCCCTCCACTGCAGAACTCAATACTCTGCAGTGAGTAACCAGCAGCCAGAAACGGATGAGATGGGAACACACTGAGCACTAGGATAAATATTTGATGAAACACCAAGCAGTAGTTTTCATAGATTTAAGTAGAATAATGGTATTAGGGTTTTGTTTCTCTTGATATCCTTTACTTTTTTGGAGATAATGTACTGAAATACTTAAAAAAAAATGATGTGACTTTAAGAATTGCTTCCAAATCTGGAAGAAATGAGTATGGGTACAAATAAAACAGATTTTTCAATGATAACTGTTGAAGTGGATTTTGGGTATATTCTTCCTATTTTTGTGTATGATTTTTTTCATAGTAAAACATGTTGAAAGCAGGCAGCAGTCTTACAGTTCCTTCACAATAAAACCCACACCCCTTATAATGGCCCACAAAACCTGAGACAGATGGCTTCTGGTTTCTCTGACTCCACCTTTCCCGGGCTCAGCTACACTGTCCTCTTGTTCAAACGTCCCAAACAGCCCCTGTCCCCATTCCTTAGCTCAAGCTGTTCCCTCTGCTGTGTGCCCTTCCCCCAGGTCTCAACACGGCTAGCTCCCCCATTTCCTCTGAGACTATTCAGGTATGTCCTTCTCAATGGCACCTTCATACATCACCAACCTTACTGCTATTTTCTTTTCTTTTTGTGGTACTGGGGCTTGAACTCAGAACCTTCACCTTGAGTCACTACACCAGCCCTTTTTGGGGGATGGTTTTTTTGAGATAGAGTCTCATGACCTATTTGCCCCAGGCTACTTTGAACTGCAATCCTCCTGATCTCTGCCTCCTAAGTAGCTAGAACTACAGGCATGAGCCACCGGTGCCTGGCATTAACTGCTGTTTTTTATGTCTCTCTTTCCCTGCCCGCCAGTGCATAAGAGCATGAGGGCGGGGACTGTCCTTGCCGAACTACATACTTGCCTAGGATAAAACCTGGTGCCAATCTATGCTGTAAGAAATATTTGTTTAAAAAAATGAGCTTATGGAAAGAAGGAAAGGGGGGAAGGGAAGATGCAAGAATGGGAATGGGGCAGGGAGAAGACAAGTAGCAAAGAAGACAAGGAAAAAAAGAGCTGTGCAAAAGAAAGAGGAAAGTAATTGGTCAAGTGTCCCCAGTACTGGTAGAATTTGAGCAAGAAGCCATGCCCACAGCCCTTTCTGTTATACTTCTCCCAAACTCGAGGAGAAGAGCAGATAACACTGCAGAGTGTGAGCAAGTGCCCAGAGGCAGGAAGCCACCTTGGGGCCACTTCTTGTGTCTGCATGACTGTCTTCAACATCCATCATATGCAAGATCACCTCAGGCAGCACGTGCTCTCTGCATCATCCAGTTTTCAGTCCTCACTTCCACAAGGGCTTAGCAACCCTCCCTAAGCTGAGAGTCCTCTGTCCTCTGAAAGTCCACAGCCTATACAAGTCAACATGGGGGCCTTTGGATTAGCTGTAGGTAGGAATCAAGCTTCTTAGCTGACCAAGAGCGCCTGATGGCAGAACCTTAATTGTTCTGGTAGATTGTCTGTACCTCATAAGAGCTCAGCATGAGTTGTGCTGACACATGGAAGAAAAGAAAGAGAAAAAGGCAGGATTTGGAGAAGCACAGCTCAAGATGAGAATATGCAAGAGGCAGCTTAGCAGTTGTGTTGCTCACAGCATGGCCTTCATCTGTAGAAGCTGTTGTGAGGACTGGAACATAGTTGGCACTCAACAAATCCCATGTCTTACCCTCACCTCAGCCATTGCTCCATCCCCTCCTTCCCAACCTATTTTGCTTCCCTGGATCTCCTGTTCTAGTCCTTAAATCTCCAGAGCTGATGCATTTGCCTAATTCCCAAGACCCCTGAGCTGTTTTAAGCTTAGGCCAGGCCAAGCTCCCACTGCATCTGTAGTTAGTATGGCTCTTAAGGACAAAAAGCGCTTCTGAGGATGACAGTGGTCATCCCTGGAAGCACACCCAGTAGGTTCCAGGAAATCACACCCAAGAAAGTGTGGATGTGACAAGCAAGTTGTGTCAAGATGTTCCTTCTCCTCCCAATAAGAGTAAATTAAATAAAAATGTAGACAAAGAATGTTCACAGTCATCATTATATAAACAGTTCCACCTACCATCTAATACTATATTAGGAAGAGTAGTACTTGCAGCAAGATGAAGAAAGGTTCACATAAACACTAATTACATAATGTGCAAGGATTTTTCTTTCCCTGTAAGGCTGTGTACGAGCATGCTGAGGGAAAGAGCCATGGCAGCTGCCACATTTTGTTGCCCATCATGATCCTGAGCACTCTTTGTCATAGCAACTCAGCCACAGTGACGCCTTCTGTATTATAACAAGAAGGCAACAGACTTGGAGAGGCCAAGTGATTTGCAAGGTCACATAGTAGCTGGGAAGTGGAGCACAGATTCAAAACGAGGTGCATCTTATTTCAAAGTCCAGGATGCTTGTACCATGCAGAGGAGAGAGCAAGCCAGATGAGTGTCTCATTGAACTGATAGGGAAACTGAGGCCAAGAATGGAAATGCTGAGTGGGAAGTGATGCACCCAAGGTCTTCTATTTGGAATAAGTGACTCTCTTGTCTCTCACCAAAAGGTGCCTTTGAGACACCTTCAAAATAAGGTCTACCTAGAATCTTGAAAACTCAAGATGGTTATAGGAGGCAGAATTGCTTGGAAATCAAAGAATGGATTTCATTGGTGGGTAAGGATATATGGGAATCTGTTGAATGATAAGAACAGGTCACCTGAATTTTGAGTGGGATGGGCCCAACTCCCCCAGACCATCAATCAACAGTACATACATAATGCCACCCTCTGACCGAGCTACAGAATCTTCACCTGAAAGGGGCCTTAAGCTAGACTGGGGCTGCCTCTGCCAAATGCCTGGACTTTTGCCCTCCCAGCAGTCAGTGGTCCCCTGGCCTCTGAAACTCCAGGGGCAAGAAATTCAGCTGCCACCCAACTGCTGGATGGGTGCCCCATGAGTAGCTCTCTACGTGAACTAGGAAAGAGGCCACACTTTAGGGTTAGAGTTCGATAAGTGTGTGGGCTCCCTACTCTGTCAGATATGATGCTGCAAATTGGGAAACAGAGCTGAGCTTAGGTCCCAGTCCAGTTTGCTGCTGGGGGTACATCCAGGAGATCATCTAACCTATAAATGTTTCTATAGCCTTCATGCTTAAACCTGTGACATTGTGTCCGGAGCCAGGCTTACTGTTCAGTTGAGCACAGTTTAGGTAAGAAGACAGTTGCTCAATTAAATTAAACTTGATTTAATTAAGTTCCATGAGACATGATATTCAACAATATGATGCTTAAAGTAGCTATAAAAAGTTCACAGATCTCTACTTTCTGTCCCTATTTTCTCTTAGTGTTTTTCTCAAAACTTAATTCAAACATCATCTCCTTCAAGAAGCCCTGGCCACCAGCAGGCTGGGTTACTTGCCTCTATGTGTGTTCGCAAGCATTGAGTCTTCCTCTGCTAGGGAGTTCTGGTATGTTCGTACATACCAGACTCAGAGTTGATCACAAACTCACCTCCATGTCACCAGCGTCCAATTCAAGGCAGAACACATGGCAAACTCTGAGCAAGGTTAATGAATGGAGCCTAATCTCTCTTCTGCTTCCAATATTCATCTTAAGTTTCTAGGGTGGCCTTCTGTATTCTTTTGGACATTATGAAATGGAGGCCAGTGTGGGTGAGATGGGCATTGGAAAGGGAAGAAAGTTTACTTACTCGGAGACCTTGCAAACCAGGGGGGCCACCTCTGCCTTCTGGACCCATCAGACCCTTTAGGAAGAGAAAAGGGAAAGAAAAGAGAGAAAGGGTGAGTGGTAAGTGCAGGATTCAACAGCATGTGTTCTACTCTGTCTTCTCACTCGCATTGTATAAGTATATATCATTGCATTCCAATAGGAAATTGTAAGGTCAGGAGGGAAGTAAGAGCCCATCCGCTCCAATCTACTTTAAATTATGTAGACTTCTTTGGTATTATTCTCTCCAATCTACTTTAAAATACACAGACTTCTTTGAAATAATTAAATACGTTTGGCAAGGAAGATGTAGGCGATGTCATGCAAACTTTACATATGAGCACAGTAAGGACCAATGGCTTACAATAGTGTTTTTCACAAAGCACACACACAAGAACCCTCTGGAACCTAAGTGTCTAACTCTAAATCCAGTACCCATTTCTCTGTAAAGACTGACTCAGAAGTAATTAGCTTGGGTTTTCTGACCCTTAGGCAACCATGATATACAAAGGGTGACAGTTGGGACAAATAAACAAAATTGTCTAGGAAAGGCCAATCTCAATTAGACAAGGAACTTTAATGGGGGTAAGGATTGGAGGTGTCTTGCTACTCTAATTCAAACACTGCCCCCTCATTCTGCCTCCTCTGCTGAATGGCCTCAGACCAGTACTTGACATTGTTGAACCTCAATTATCTCTTCTCTAAGATGACGATAATGCACCTATCTTCTGAGCAGTTGAAAGATGACATGAAGAGTTAGCACTCAAGACAAGAGCCAGCGTGATACATGGGACTATGTGAGAGCATCTGGAACATTCAGGGAAGCTGAGTAAGCAGCTGAAACCCCCTGCTCGAGTTCTGGCCACATGACCATGCCCGGGTAAACTGTGACCAGAAGCACCCTCCCTAAACTTCAATTTCCTCATCTAAAATAAATAGCATCATCACTCTAACAGCTCCCATTGCCAAATATTGCGTAAGTGTTTGGTGACCAAGCTATATTTAGATCCAAGATGTTTACTTTTAATACTACTATGAAAATGAATACATGAATAGGTAACTGCAGGAATTAAGTGTGTGAATCCCTCTTCCTTAGAAGAACTCCACTGAGCTTGGGGCACACATGGAAAAAAGACTCCATAGGAGTCAGCCTGCTTTAAGGATCAAGAAACTCTTGGCATTGATTTTCCCAGCTAGCCATTTAGTTTGCTCCTCCCGACATTGGTAAAGCTATCAGAGACTGTTTCACCTTGGAGAAAGGATAAAAGATGCCAGCATTTGGATGCAGAATACCGCATACTGTTTCCATTTAGAGAATAGGATATATTTTCCTCTCTCTGGGATTGCTGAACACAAACTCAAAATTTTCCATTCTCAACAGAAGTCACTGAAACCAGCATCTCAGTTCAATTCAATCTAATGAATATTTAGGAAACAAGTGTTCTGAAGAACACCCTGAGCTAGGTGCCCCTGGGGATTCAAAAGAAATGACAATTGTATCAGTGCTGGGCTTGGTGAATCTTCAAAGGGCACCACCTTGTGCACCAGTTCATTTAACCCTCATAGTGTGTTTATGTAAGAGACGGTGATGATTATTGTCATTATTTTCAAGTTAGGGATGACTCAAATGAGGATGAGAGATTGGGTGATGTTACGGAAGACACCCATCTATTTGGTGGGAGAATATGGACACAAAGCAGAATGCTTTGGCTCCTCATCCCTGGAGTCTTCCATGGTCATACTACTCTTTATAAGCTCACACTTCAATCAGGTCCCGCTTTAATGCTCCCAAGAGGGCCCATTGCGGAGCTATCCCTCTACAAGCAGGTGTTAAGTTCTTAGCATGTGATAAGACACTGTGCATTTAGAGATTGGAGAAATACTGGTCCTACCCTGAAGAATCTTGCAGTCTTAGACCTCTCATTACTATCCTCCTTTAGCTGGGATGCTTGCTTTCTGAACTCTGCCCAAGGGAATTTCAGCACCAACATCACATATTATTTCAAATCCCATTCTATCAGGAGCATCTGGCCCTGGCAGACATTTTCAGCACCACGGATAGTTCTGTTGAACAGTAGGGTCCAACTAGTCTGGTGTTTGATCTTACAGCAGTTCAAGAGTTTCTTAATGTTCTGTATTAGGAACCATTCTGTACTCAGTGATGAAAAGGGCATGCGATAGATAGTCAGACAGACCTGGTTCAGTGTTTTCTTTTGCTTCTTAATAGCTGTGTGATGCTATGAAAGTCATTCAATCTCTATGCCCCAGTGCCCTCATTGGTAAAGATGAAAAAGAACACTTCCACCATTGCAGATTTAATATGCATACATTTGTAGGTGAAAGCATACTATTGTATCGAAACTCAGTATTTTCCAATAGTGTGTCTGAAATATCTACGTGAAAGGTGAATATTTGAAAGGGGCACTGCATGACCTGAATCTCTCAAAAACTATAGCAACAGTGGACAACTCTGGGAAAATGAGCCTTGGAGAGTGTATAAAAAGAAGGAGGCTTCACTAAACCAAAAGATCTGATAGGAAAATGCTCTAATTATATTAAAATCAAACACCATCAAAGTTTCCTTTAGTTTTACTTCAGCAAAAACATATTGATGAATGGTCCTCAGTAGCTCAATATGATTCTCATTTATGGGCATTTCTAAATAAGAGTTGCTTCATATCAGTCAATAAAATATAGCAATGTAAAACAACGAGCAACATGTTACCAGGAAAGGCAACTTTAAAACAGGAACCTTTTTGGAGTTCACTATGTTCTTATTATCCTTAGTATCTGAACTTACATCCAAATGATCACAGGGCCCCTTTCATGGCTTCTTCCCAAAGGTTATTTACACATCATAAAGTTATTAAAAGAGGCAGAAATCAAAAGCTAAAGTGCCCCAAGCCCTGTGAAGTCAGTAACAATGAGAAATGTAAGAAAAGCAAATGTGTAGAGTGATTCAACTGACACCCATGTTTTTCTTCTGTTGTATTTGAAAGGGTTGAAAAACCAGGCTGACTACCTCGAAACCCCATTTGGAGAGACAAGAGGCTCTGAAGGAAGACTGCACTGAAGATTCATTCTTAGTTTTGTGTGAGCTGCAACTGACAACATCACCCCACCAAGGTCCATGGCAACAACACATAACACTCAGGGTGATGTCAAGTCTTCTGAAATACACTCAGCAGTGGGGAAGATTATAATTTTCCAGACCCAGAGGTATTCAAAGCACACTCTGGGCTGGGAAGAGATGACTTACCGGAGCTCCTGGTGGCCCCTGTGGACCCTGATGACCTCTTGGTCCTGGAGCACCCTGGAACCATATGCCAAACATGTGTTAGTCATGAACCCCTGTCTCCTTATGACCAGAACCGCCACTACCACCCATGACCCTTTCCTGACTGGAGTTTACTTTCTGAGCTCCCAATAGGCACCCAGAGCCCTAAAGCAGGCATTTGCATTCCTGGCAGAGAGCCAAGTGGACACAGCCCTAAAAGATTCCATGTGAACCCAATTCATCAGCTGTGGCATTTCTACTTTTGCTGCAACTTAAATCCCCACAATGGGCCCTTACCTGCTCTCCCTTCAGGCCCTCTCTCTGCACCTGAGAGACAAACAGGTGTTAGCAAGGTATTGGCATTTTCTCAGCAATAGTCAACCTCCTTCAATTCGATTAAGGGTATCCACAGGGCATGCAATGATTCAACAGTTTCTGACTTTTATCTGATTTTATCCAATTTTTGGTGTTGAAAACTTTCTCTCCAACTCATGTCATTAGAAGAGTTCTGCTTTACGCTTAGAGGTAAGGACCCTTCCAGGGACCCAATTCCATCAGCATTCCCACCATAGGTGAACTCACCACAGAGCCTGGCACACCAGGAGGTCCTGCAGGTCCAGCATCTCCCTGCATAGAATTAACAAGGACTTTAACTTCGTTACTGGTTACCACCTTCTACTGTTGCTTCCCACCCTGCCTTGAGGCCCTTGCTTATTCTTGCAATCCCAGAGGACATTCTCTGGGTTCCATCACACATATCATTCTGCCTGAACTTATTCCTTCCTTGCGATATTGTCAAAACTTCTGTGTCTGCCTGTGAATCAGGGTCATAGCCCTCTGGAAGGATAAAGTCCTGTTTTGTCTTTATACATATGCACAAATAGTATGAATAGTCCAGTGCCTACATATGGCTGGTATACCAAGAACCCTTCATGGCTTGAGAGCAGCCCTTGACCTACCACCATTGTACCTTCATGTAGCAGACACTGTGTTAGGCAGAGCAAGAACAACAATTACATATTTTAGCATGACCCTTGTGCTGAGTTCATGGTTCAGCAGTATGGTTAGCATTCAATAAACGTTTATCAAATAAGTGACTAAGAAAATGCCGTGATGATTACCATCCATTTTCCTTGATGTTATATATGAAAGACATGTTTCACGTCTTTGTTCCCTTCATGTGCAGGTCCCCTGGGCTATGATGACTGAAGCTTGATCAGATTTCACAGGGAATGAGCTACATCTTGGTTCTGCATGGGCATAACTGTGCCAATACAAAATACTTTAGTTCTATGACTCTGGTGCCTAAGGCAAGGACACTGCTTGCAGCAAATGTCCCTACACACAGTTTTGGAATTTTATTTTTCATTCACCTGGAGTCCAGCTCAGGGATCATGGGAAGTGGTCAAGAACTATTGTTGAATAAGTTGGCAAATACTTGAATCAGACACTGAACACATATGAAAGCATCTGTTAAATCTTAAGGCTAAGGAATAACAATGAGTGATTCAGGGTACGCCTACCATCCTTCACTGCATTTGGGGCTATATGATACAGACAGGTATATATTCCCTACCTGCTCTCCCTCAGGTGCTCCCTTTAACATCAAAATTTGTACAAATATTTCTTGTCTTCCCAACCTCACTGTCTCCTATCCCTGCCCAAAGCATAGAAAAATGACCTCACTTTTTGTACAGCATCAAGTTCATCTCTAAAAATCTCAACTGCTCTTGTTTCTATGTGAAAAATGTTTGAGCCGGGATCTGGTGGTTCACTCCAGTAATCCTAGCCACTGAGGAGACAGAGATCAGAAAGATTGTGGTTCAAAGCCAGCCCAGGCAAAGAGTACACGAGACCCTAACTTAAAAATACCCATCACAGGAACAGGTACTAGAGAAAAGGTTAGATCAAAAAGAATTAACCTAGAAGGTAACACCCACGCACAGGAAGTCAATGTGAGTCAATGCCCTGTATAGCTATCCTTATCTCAACCAGCAAAAACCCTTGTTCCTTCCTATTATTGCTTATACTCTCTCTACAACAAAATTAGAAATAAGGGCAAAATAGTTTCTGCTGGGTATTGAGGGGGGGAGAGAGAGGGGGCGGAGTGGGTGGTAAGGGAGGGGTGGGGGCAGGGGGGAGAAATGAACCAAGCCTTGTATGCACATATGAATAATAAAAGAAAAAGTAAAAAAAAAAAATACCCATCACAAAAAAAAGGCTGGTGGAGTAGCTCAAGTTATAGAACCTGAGTTCAAGCCCCTGTACTGAAAAAAAAAGTTTGAGTGACAATTTTCCTTACTACACCTTCATTTTTGTCTCCCACGTTTAATAACTGAGTTCCACTTCACAAGTATCTTTACTCCATTTTTTCTTTGTTACCACTACCCACACACATGTGCACAAGAGATGCATACTCACACATGTGTGCATGCAGGAACAGAGCATTTCTAAGCCATTCTCTAACCTGTCCAGGCACCTTCCTGACATAAATGTACAACATTGCCATGCACTCCGATCCTTGCCTGAATATGTCTTCTGCACTCCTCCATGAGAATTTAACTCCTCCAAGACAGTTTCCCCTATACTCACACAAACTTTGTTACTATTCTGGTAATATGTGATTCTAGAAGCTACATTATAATTTGTGTGTGAAGTTGCCACATCTAAGTATGTATGTATATTGTATCTTTTGGAGTTCATAGCTATGCATTCTTTTATTGATGTTTTGCATCACTGTCACACCTACTTTTCTTGGTTTTACTATTGTATTTGTCATCATTACTGATGAAAATGAGTCTTCAACAATAATTATCAAGTCAATTAATCAATACATGTTTTAATCACTTGCAGTTCAAAATATGAGATCAAAATATTCTAATATGTTGAATTATTATTAAAGAAATATAAGATCCTTGTATTCACCTGTAGTAATTGTGTATACATAACTCACAGTTTTTGGGAGAGTTTCTATCTCCCAGGCCTTTCTCCAAGGACTTGGTATGGATTAACTCTTTCTCTAGAATATGATCTTTTCTACCTGAGAGATGAAGAAACTGAGGCACAGAATTGTTTAGCAACTTGTTTACAATCAAAAACTTAGTAACAGATTCAAAAGTCTTCTAGAATAGTTTCCTTTACACTACATGGGATGATCAATATTTACAAGGGTCAATTGTAGCTACTGTAGTGGCCAGCTCTCACCACAGTATCTATCTGGTATTCATACAGGTGACCTTTCACACCCATATCTGTGACCATAGCAACAGCAGAAATGATGCCATGAGACTTCCAGGATTAGATTACGGAAAGTGATTGACGCTTCTATTCAAGGATTTGTCCTTCCCCACCAACCTCAGATCATTTGCTCTCAGGGGACGTGATTTCCACCTTGAGCAGCACTTTTCAAAGCCTCTAGCTAACAGCCATTGGAGGATAGAGGCTTGCTGATGACCATGCAAGCACTGTGGAAGTGGATTCTCCAGCCCCAGTGACTCTTGGCACAGCACACACCCTTGATAGACTGAGCAGTCTCAGGAGAGACCCTGGGTCTAGACAATCCAGCCATGTGTTCCTAGATTCCCATGTTAAGCTACTAAGGTCTAGGTAACTTGTTACACAGAAATAGATAACTAGTAAATCCATGAAGTCAATCTAGTAAAATTCCTAATGTGATATAAAAAGTGCATTCCTTGAAATATCCATCTGCAGCACATCCTGGGACAGACATGTGGATCCCTTCATCTACAATCAAATCCACTGTGGGGATGTAAACCATGCCACCCTAATTTTTCCAGTCTCTGTCTTTCATCTGTAGAGGAGTTTCAATAGACTATCTCTATGGTTCCAATGACTTTCCCAAAGACTATAAGATCAGAGATCCTATAAAATCTAAGATTTGCTCTCTCAGAATGAAAAGAGAGCTATCAAATCACCTAAGCCTCACTGTTTTGGTGATTACTCCAGCGAGTTCCCAGATAAGGCAATGGTCATTGACCTCATCCTTCTACCTGGGCACATACGCACACACACATACACACACGCACACACTTGATCACACATGTGCACACATTTGTTCACATATGTGCACACGAGCATGCACGAGCAGTGGGAAACAGTCTTCACCTAGGCCCCACCTTCAGGCATCAGTCCCTCTCATTGACTGAAATAAACTATTTATTTTAGGGTTTAGCATTCCCTGTCAAGAAACTGCAAGAATGTATTAAAATCCTGACCCCAGGATAATATTTGACACAACACAAATTTCAACTCTGAAAATACCTAACAGGAGAGAGAATAATTAACTCAGCTAAAAGTGAAGGCCAAGTGAGCTAGTGGGGAGATGTCAGCATTCTCCAGTCCAGTTCTTTAGCTGAGGCTTTCTCAGCTGTGCTTTGTAATGCACACCTGTCTTCTACAAAAGTCAAAGAAGCCCTTTCCTTTTTTTTTTTTTTCCTATTTGTCATTAACTCCTAAATAGACTGAAAATTGCATTGTAAAAAAGCCCTTGTTCCATATTTCTATATATTCTTTTTGGAACCTCACCAATTCAAAAACACATAGTGTCTACACTGAATAAATACTTTTTTTTTTATTATTTTTTTTTATGGTCTGCTAACTAGGCAAGTATATGAATATATATTTTTTTTTTCATTTTTCTTTTATTATTCATATGTGCATATAAGGCGTGGTTCATTTCTCCCCCTTGCCCCCACCCCCTCCCTTACCACCCACTCCGCCCCCTCCCTTCCCCCCCAATACCCAGCAGAAACTATTTTGCCCTTATTTCTAATTTTGTTGTAGACAGAGTATAAGCAATAATAGGAAGGAACAAGGGTTTTTGCTGGTTGAGATAAGGATAGCTATACAGGGCATTGACTCACATTGATTTCCTGTGTGTGGGTGTTACCTTCTAGGTTAATTCTTTTTGAGCTAACCTTTTCTCCAGTACCTGTTCCCCTTTTCCTATTGGCCTCAGTTGCTTTAAGGTATCTGCTTTAGTTTCTCTGTGTTAAGGGCAACAAATGCTAGCTAGTTTTTTAGGTGTCTTACCTATCCTCACCCCTCCCTTGTGGGCTCTGGCTTTTATCATGTGCTCAAAGTCCAATCCCCTTGTTGTGTTTGCCCTTGATCTAATGTCCACATATGAGGGAGAACATACGATTTTTGGTTTTTTGAGCCAGGCTAACCTCACTCAGAATGATGTTCTCCAATTCTATCCATTTACCAGCGAATGATAACATTTCGTTCTTCTTCATGGCTGCATAAAATTCCATTGTGTATAGATACCACATTTTCTTAATCCATTCGTCAGTGCTGGGGCAAAAGAAGCCCTTTCCTTACTTCAAGCTGGGAATTGGACTGCCCCTCAATGACCTGAACCCCACTTTAGCTGTTCTGAGAAAGTGAAGGTGCTCTGATTCCACCCTCTCTGCAGTGCTTGATCCTTGCCCTCCACAGCCTTTGCTCCAGCTCCACCATTCTGTCTGATGTCTTTGAAGGGCCATCTAAGAATCTGAAAGAACACCCTTCTCTTGTCCACACACAGAGGCCTGGATGTCATCGTCCCTCCAGCCACAATCCAAAATCCAACATCACACTTCTCTTTTTCCCTCTTCCTCACCCTAAATCTAACAAAGCTATTATTTTCACATACATCTTCATAAGCACTTCATTCACAATTTGCCAAAATTGTTACATGTGGTCATTTTGGTTGAGATCCAGAAATTCTAAGCAGCAAAATTATTTAGTTAAGCCTTGTTGGAAGGCGTTCTAAACCAGATGACCAGTATGATAGCATAGGGACTTTATTTTGTTTATTAAAGGCATAGTGCATTTTCAGGACTCTCATTATGATAAAAAAAATTGTAAAACATAATAGAGAAGAGGGAAGAAGAAAAGGAAAAAGAGAAAAAGGATTTTGTAAGATAATTTTTTGTACTTATTCATAGCCTTCTTTAGTCCAAAAGGCATTTCAGTAAAAGATTTTAATGTATTTATCTATTATATAATAGAGTTTTGATTTTTAAAATGGACTTTTATTCCTAAAGATAGGAAAACAACTTAAATGCAATAGCTAGAAATGCTGTGTTAGCTGAGGTCCTGTTGCCCAACTCAGCCTACTTTGTGTGCACTTTGTTCCCAAAATTAGATCTACTTCCTTCCTCAAGTTCTGTTTGTCCAGGTGGCACTTCACACACCTGCTGGTCCAGAACTCAAACCCATCTACAGCGCACACCCCCCACTTCACACACATACACACACACACACTTCACAGCCTGACTTACCTTCTCTCCCTGAGGCCCCGCCACACCGGGAAGGCCAGGTCTTCCCTGGAGGACAGAAAGCAAAGGTGGATTACTACAGGCACTGTGGAAGCACAGGTGGGAAGTGGAGAAGGAAAGGGTTGGGCAGCTGTAGGTCTGAAGCCATGGGTTAGTTTTCTATAGGTCCCCTTTGTCTCAGCTTTGTGGACTATGCTTCTGGCTATGAAGTTCTTCAAGTAACATAAATTCCCAGGTTTCCCCTTTGCAAATCATGCTGGTATGGTGACATGGACACCACATTTTGAGAAAGTAGGAGACCTTTTGCTTAGGGATGGGAAAGACACGTCAGACAGAATCTGAACAAGAGGCAGAAGTAGCAAACAACCCAAATCTGCCATTGGGCCAGGGAACACAGAGGACGAAGTCTTATGGAGCCACTTGGAAACCATTAGAGATGTGAAACCGATGAGTCTGCAGGCTCAGAGAAGAAGGAAGGATTGCCTAGACTCTGCCCAGGACTAGCTACTTCCACAGGGAAACTAAGTCCCAGGGAGCTGGCATAGAAGTGTATTCAATGGAATCCTTTCTACTCCAGGGTTTGCAGAATTGTGTGTGCACACAGCTGGGGTCAGGTCACTAAACCTCCTGTTGCATTCAGCTGAATAGAAAGAAAGCTGAGGGGCCAAGGCCCTACAGAGCTTGGTGTCAGGGTCCAGACATTCCTGGCCTTTGGAAAACCCTACCCACCAACCCCCACTTCCACCTACCTGCTCTCCTGTCTCCCCAGGTTTCCCAGGGAATCCATCCAGGCCTTGCTTTCCCTGGCAAAAGAAAGGAAAATGAAGGCAAAAATAATGGGCAAATGATGACCAGGCATCAGCCAACTAGGTGCCCTCATAGTCACTGTCATAAAACAGAACAATGATGGCCCTGAATGTCCAAACATGATCATCTCCTCTCTCTACCAGACACCTCCGAACACAGGAGAGCCAAAGGCGTGCACACACCACACCACACACACACACACACACACACACACACACACACACAGCAGCTGCTGTGTTAGTGTGCATTGGTGGTCAAGGAACAGAGGTGAAGGGTCAGAGAAACCAGACTCAAATCTCCCTTTCGGTTTCGAAATCTGTGACCCAGGGATGGCTACGTAGCTTCTGCTGCATATTCTCCTCATCACATGGGTAGTCATGGGGCAAGGGGTTTATAACAAGTTGGCAAAAATGCAGGCACATTTTAGGTCTTGTCTGTCCAGTAAATATGAACATTCACTCTGTTCACAGTGCTTGGAATAGATCTAATCGATTTCTGGCTAATAGTCATCATCCACGCATCCACCTGTGCTCCATCCATCTGCTTACATTCCCATGCAACTAGCTTAGAATTGCTTAATTTCTGTGGCGCTTTGGGCAAGTTGCTTTGCTATAGTATGAGGCAGGAAGTTAAGAAACTTGATGATGACCTAGAATGATGCCTTGGATGTCAATAAGGAATCACACACTGGCCTGCTGACATGAATGGAATGACTTATGTCATATAGTAGTGTCTTGCTGACTTGCAGCCCCCACAGTCCATGGAAAATGACACCCCCTGTTTGACCATCCAATGCCAAGAACTCACCCACTCAACATGTGAGAGAAGTTGATGCATACATACCCCAGTCTCCAGAAGTTAATGACACATAACCAGCTTTCTAGGACTGTCACCCACATGTCTGCAGACCCCCATAAAAGCTGGAAGTCTTGGGAACTCCAGCACAGTGCTCCTCATTGAGCCTGCCTACCTTCCCAGATAAGAGTGCATGTCTGCTTTGCTCTCACTTTACCTTACATAAATAAACCTGTTCCCATTCAAGACTTTTCTGTATTCATCTTTCGTTCTTTCTCTAATGAAACCAAGAACTTTCTGGCCCACAGACCCAGGGACCTGAATCAGATAACATCCCCTAGTTCAGTTTGCACTTACAATCCTTGCTCACTATCCTTGCTCACATGGAAACATGAAATATGGTCATTATTCTCACTAATATGTTCCCAGGATCAGCTCAGAGCTTCGCAGTGTGGCCCAAGGTGACACTTACTGAGTTACAGGAAACAACACATGAAAATTACTCTGAATTCTTGTATTCCTCTATGACTTTATCTCCCAGGATGTTATTTCATCTCTTATTTTTTTCTTTTTTTTTCATTTTTCTTTTATTATTCATATGTGCATACAAGGCTTGGTTCATTTCTCCCCCCTGCCCCCACCCCCTCCCTTACCACCCACTCCACCCCCTCCCTCTCCCCCCCCTCAATACCCAGCAGAAACTATTTTGCCCTTATTTCTAATTTTGTTGTAGAGAGAGTATAAGCAATAATAGGAAGGAACAAGGGTTTTTGCTGGTTGAGATAAGGATAGCTATACAGGGCATTGACTCACATTGATTTCCTGTGCGTGGGTGTTACCTTCTAGGTTAATTCTTTTTGATCTAACCTTTTCTCTAGTACCTGTTCCCCTTTTCCTATTGGCCTCAGTTGCTTTTAAGGTATCTGCTTTAGTTTCTCTGCGTTAAGGGCAACAAATGCTAGCTAGTTTTTTAGGTGTCTTACCTATCCTCACCCCTCCCTTGTGTGCTAAAGCTTTTATCATGTGTTGATACAGGAAAGAGTAGGAAATACTCTGGAGTTAGTAGGTATAGGTAAGAACTTTCTCAATGAAACTCCAGCAGCACAGCAACTAAGAGATAGCATAGATAAATGGGACCTCATAAAGCTAAAAAGCTTCCGTTCATCAAAAGAAATGGTCTCTAAACTGAAAAGAACACCCACAGAGTGGGAGAAAATATTTGCCAACTATACATCAGACAAAGGACTGATAACCAGAATATATAGGGAATTTAAAAAACTAAATTCTCCCAAAACTAATGAACCAATAAAGAAATGGGCAAGTGAACTCAACAGAACTTTCTCAAAAGAAGAAATTCAAATGGCCAAAAAACACATGAAAAAATGCTCACCATCTCTAGCAATAAAGGAAATCCAAATTAAAACCACACTAAGATTCCACCTCAACCCTGTTAGAATAGCCATCATCAGCAACACCACCAACAACAGGTGTTGGCGAGGATGCGGGGAAAAAGGAACCCTCTTACACTGTTGGTGGGAATGTAGACTAGTACAACCACTCTGGAAAAAAATTTGGAGGCTTCTTATTTTTTTCCTTAAGGTAGGTGCCTTGCTTTCTGGATGTTGTTTTCTGTCATGTCATGGAAAGTTTGTGAGTTTCTGCTGGCCATTGCTGTGCTTATGTTGGTGGCCTGCCTTCACATGGTGACTGCTACAGTCTACCCCTGTGACTACAGGGTGAGGGAGGGCTTTCTGCAAGCAGAGGCAACAATGTTCTTCATGCATCTGCTCCATTCTCTTGGGGACCACTGGCTGCCTGAGGAATGCTTCTCTTCCTTACTCTAGGGGCAAATACTGATGCTAGTTCTGCCCAATTCAAGCAGGTGTCAAGGAGGAGCTGTGCAACTCAGCTTCCCAAATGTCAGGTCCCAGTGAACCACTGACAACTATCCCAGGATCCACCACCCCCCTCAGATCAACAAGTATGAACCTGGCGGTTGTCCCAATGCCTCACTCAGCTCTGCACTTAGTAGCTGCCTACATCCTGCATCTATACAAATATAATCGCAGATGTTTTCTACCTTCCAGAAATCATTTGGTGTATCTAGAACACTGCCATCCCCATTTCGATTTTCAAGCACTATATATTAATTCTTTTAGAAATCCATTTCATCATGAATGACCTGTGGCCAATGAAGAGGTTAACAGCTGCCTTTTCTCTCTCTGCTCAGCAAGTCCACATCTCCTACTGAAACTTTCTTCTGTGAGATTGGCAAGCTCAGGCATCAACAGATGAGGAAACTGAGGCTCTGGGGTAAGAAGCCACTTAACCCACCTGGGTGTGTGGTGCTGGCATCAGGGCCGGAGGGCCTCCTGACTCTTACCCTTGGCCTATGTCCACTACCACCAGGGTCTGAGCAGGGGTCTGGGGCAGTATGCTGGGCTCCCCCTTGATTACTAGTCTGAGTGAGTTATAAGAGTCTCAAAGCCCATCAGGCTTCACTCTCCTTCTATACCTATAAACTGGCAGTCTCGGGGGTGTGATATGTCCAAGGTCACACAGAAACTTAGCAGTGGAATCAGGAAGAAATTTGACTTCCAGTGCTGAACTCACTGGTAGTAGGTGACCCTATGGAACTCGGCAGCTCCTCAGAGTTCTAGGCAAAGGCAGACACAACAACTAGATCCTGCTCTAAAGTTCTGCCTTGAAGCAGAAGGCTGAGCCTGGGCCCAAGTCCCTGTGTCTTACTGCCTTAAAGAGTAGAGCTCAGAGTCAAGAGTTCTCCAGTTAGAACTAGGCCGGGAAGATGCAGAGAGGCTGAGGGAGCCTGGATGGCAGCTGGGCATGGTGTTGCCATGCTGCATTGCTGGTCAGAATGCAGAGAGGGAGCAGACAGGGGACACATGAGAGTGCGGACAGGTGAGTGTTCATCAGCAGAGAAAGAGAGAGAAACAGGAATGAGAGATGGGTGAGGGAAGGGAGAGAGGGAGGCAGTAAGAGAACACAGACACACAGTGCTAAGAGAGACAGAGACACTGAGGCCAAAAGAAATGGAGACAAGAGGGAAAGAGCTTAGAGAGAAGCAGATATAAAGACAGAAAGAAACAGTGATAGAGACAGAAAAACAGACAAAATCAGACAGAAAGAGACAGAGATAGAAGAAAGACAAAGATGGAGAAAGAAAGACAGAGAGACAGAAACAAACAGGATAGAGAAAAAAAATTGAGAAACTGAGGAGGCAGGGGAGAGGGAGAGAGAAAGAGAGAGAAACAGAGATAAAGAGACACTGAGACAGAGACAAACAGAAGGGAGAGATTGATAGAGACAATGAGAGCCAGGGGCATAGTCCACAGAGCAAGGTTTCAAGTTGAGATGGACACCTAGTGTTCTGAGGTGGAGTGAGGTGGGTGGGTTGGGGCCACACAAAAGAGGCCACAGTCCACAGAAGGACTCTGTGCTGAGATTTCTGCTGAGGTTAGGGTGTGTCGGGCTTTGCACACGGCACTGTGTACTGGCCACACCAGCCCAGCTGAGAGCGGGGCTGGGCTCTCCTGGGAGGGGCCTCACAACTCAGACTGGGACACTGCTCCCACTTCCAAATGCTGCATGACCTCCGACCAAGTACTTAGCACTCCCGTGACTCAGCTTCCCCACCTACAAACAGGCATAATACTTACTTCATGCTGTGAGAATTAAGGGCACTATCTATGAGAAATGCCTAGAATAATGCCCGGCTGATAGGACAATATATTGAAAGTTGGTTGAGCAAAACAAAGAGCAACTATGTGGAATGAGGGAGAAGAAGGAAAGAGAGATCAGTTGGAATGGGTCAGCCAGAGAATAATGGTGCCGGAAGGGCAGGTGGGAACAGAAGTCATGAGGGATGGCACCATCTCTTGTCTGGCTACAACCCAGCTCTGCCCAGGCTACTGCCCTTTGCTTGGGTTACCCATGATTTACCAGTTACCCTTCTTATAGGGTCTCTGATCTTGGGACATGTGGTTTTATGGCGCCATCTCTTACCCACTGACTTAACCAACGCTATAGGGGGGGTCATCTGTATTCCAAATCTAAACTAAGCACCGTACATGTGCAGTTGAGTTGACTTTGCAAACATCTTTCTTGATAACTAAGCTCTTGGGACTCCTAAACACAGAGTTTGTGCCTCAGTCCTCCCTGGGGCTGACCTGCAACTGGCACTCAGAGGCTGCCAAAGGGAGACTGAATGCCCAGAGGCCTAGTCAGACCCTAGGCAAGGGTATGAGACTGTACTCCTCACCCTACCCTCCGGTAACTGCCTTTATGTGCCTGGGCTTCAGTCTGAAGAACTGCTGAGCTCGACACACACTCTGGATAGAGACCCAGCTTCTATTTCTTCAGCTCATTCCCAGGCCACCCAGTCCCCACATCATGTTCACTCCTGGCCGGGACTGCAGATCAAATCCTCATTCTCTTGATTTCCTAAGCTGCCCCTCAACCCACTCTACTGTGTGCTGATTCCTCAACTACTCCCAGTGTCACTTTCAAGTCTCCACATGGGAGAGAAGGAGCAGAAGGCGCACTGAGAGAAGATCTAACTCGCGAACAGACATATGGAAACACATTAAAACTCTCAAAAGTAGACATAGAGACACATTAAAATTCTAAGCTGACCAGCTTCCTTTGTTTATGGGAACCTGGTGTTCTGTGGCTGCAGACAGCAGTCTCCTCAGCAGTGTACACAGCCTAATGCTTGTGTGGCTTGCCCTAAGGGACCTTGGAGACAGGTTTCCAGTGTGTTCATGTCTCTGTTTTCACATTGTCTCCAATCTACTGCATACTCCAGACAGGTATGCAGATTGTCTTTGGGAAGCCCCAGGGCACAGTGGCCAGGGTTCACATTGACCAGGTAAGCATGCCCATCTGCACAAAACTGCAATATAAAGAACATGTGATTGACCAAGTCAAGTTCCCTGGCCACCAGAAGATCCACACCTCAAAGATGTGGGGCTTTACCAAGTTCAGTGCAGATGAACTTGAAGACATGGTAGCTGAGAAACAACTCATCCCTGATAGCAGGAGACCCTAATCGTGGTCCCTGGACAAGGGGCGAACCTTGCACTCATGAAGGCTCCCACTTTGCTGTCCCCTCTTTAATCACCTTAATCATGCTCAACAATAAATCACCTGTCCATTTAAAAAATTCTTGAAAGAATAGAGGGATACAGATCCCAACCTGGAGTGAGTATGGGCTTTGCTCAATTACAATTACAGAAGTGACCAAGGCCATGTGCTTTTGGATCTGTGAGCAAGTTCATTTTCTCTGGCTCATAATTTTACTTCTGGGAAAGCAACCTAAGGAAATAATTCTAAACTGAAAAATAGGTAAATAAATAAAGGTATGGGTTTAGAAATGTTCACCAAAACATTATTTTTAACAGTGAGAAACCTGTAAACAGTGCTACATGATCAATACCAGAGAAGTGAGCATATAAATCTAAACTATTCACCCAATGAGACACTGCTGGGAGGAAATAGTGCACAGGAACCACAAACAGGACACAGAATCAAACGCCTCAGGTGTGACTGTGTGAAGAGGAGCTAGGTGCATAAGAGTCAGTCCTTAAGACAATGTGCCAAGGTGTGGCTGCACCAGCATGTCGAGATTACAGACTAGTTTTCACTATAATCCAATTATATTGAAATAAAACTAAACTAACTAATGAAAAATTCCTTATAAAACTAAAGAAACAAGCTGTAGAGGGGTAAAATTGGGGGGTGGGGAGGAGGTGGTTCCTGAAAAAGTGTCTGGGGCTTGGTTTGAAGGCAGAAAAACAAGTCTCAGTTCTTGGAACCCTTTGCCCCAGGCCTTGAGGAACTCAGAAGGGGGTTTGGGAAGAGAGGGCTAAGAATTCCCCACCATTTGCTGTGTGAGAAAGTAAGGGAGGGTGAGATGTACGGCCCTTGGTTCCCACCTAGTTGAACTCTGAGCAACTCATGGCATTAACACAGGTGGAAGAATGGTATTGAGGAACTCTTTCATTGTAACCTGGTGGTGGGTTATGAAGGAGCAACCATCCTGAGTCCTGCTCAAATGTGCTGGTCACTGTGATGATCCAGCTTAGGCCAGGTCACAACACTTGATGAAAACCTGGATCCTGCATTTCACCAATGCAACCATATGCACCATGAACCCGCCCTAATGTCTGAATCAAGGTAATAAGGAACAGAGATCATATAACTTGCCAACTAAGATGAGAGCCCATGGAAGCATCCAGGCCTTCCGTGCCTCAGTCCAGGGCTCTGTTCACACCGCTGTGCTCTAGAAACCCTGCACTCTGCCTGGAAGTCCTGTGGGTACCAACACCCCAACCTTCTGACCGGGCTTATGTTTGCGGTGGGAAATTAACACACTATCTGCATTGTGTTGATCCTCAGCTACCACCCTCCCAACACACACACACACACACACACACACACACACACACACGCACACACGCACGCAGACAGTGAATGAATAGCCTCTTTTCTGTGGAAAGTGGTATTGATTTCAGGGGTAGACTATAAATACCTTTTCTCCTTGAGTTCCCTTTTCACCTCGTTCTCCTTGGAGACCCTGGGGGAAAGAAAGAGTAGTGATGCATAATAATAGTGATGTATGTCACACTATGGCCTCACTACACTCAACCCCTGAGGGCCTGGAGAGAAAAAGGCTGGCAATGCCCAGCCCAGGTACAGAGAAGGGTGGTAGAAAAGACCCTGTCTCACTGTGTTATCTACCTAATGCCACACAATGTCCTGTGTTCCTCCCTCAGCCTGGGCCAGAGCCAGGCTACTTCCAGGCTAAGTTCACGGGGCTGTTCCCCTGTACTGGACTAATCAGGTCCTCACAGCTACAGGCTGGGACCCACCTGAGCTCAGCTCACCAAGGGCAGACCACAGCTTTGGAGTCAGTTCTACAGCTACCTAGAGCCTGCACTTCCCCCATTATCATGGGTTCCAGGAAGGGGCCCCAAAATTGAACTGGAGATTGTGGGCCCATTTAACACCACTCTTCCATCTACCCCAGAGAAAGGGTTGCTGCCCTTCCCTGTGTCCATCTACCTTCCCCAACAGCAGCACCCAAACAATGTTCTATGAACCCTGTGAGGTCCCCCCTTCTTCTTCTCTTCTTTTTGGAGAAAGGGACGTTGGATATTCCATAGAAAGGATGCTAAACAGAAAATACTTCCCTATCCCACTTGTTGATTCTAGGACTAACACATGTATCTGTGGCCTACAGAAGGATGTAAGGGCTAAAGTCACGAGATGCTGTCCTGAAGGGCAGAGGACCTACAGGACCATTCAGGCCTGTGTGGTAAGTGGACATTGATACCATTTTAATCCTATCTAAGTAATCTGACCACACATACTCAGGTCAGAGGTCTTGAATGCCAGCAAGGCAATGCAAGCTTCTTTGTTTGGCAAATGAATGTTTATACTGTTTCTTTCATTTGGAGATAATCTAAAATATTTCTTTTCCTTTTTTTTTTTTTTTTGGCAGTATTGGAGCTTGAGCTCAGAGCCTCATGCTTCCTAAGGAGGTGCTCTAACACTTGAGCCACTCCGCCAGCCCTGTTTTGTACTGAGTGTTTTCAAGATAGGGTCTTGTGAACTGTTCGCCCAAGCTGGCTTTGAACTGAAATCCTCCTGATCTCTGCCTCTGGAGTAGCTGGGATTACAAGCGGGAGGCACCAGCACCCAGCATCAAATATTTCTTAATGAGAATCAGGAATAGAGTCAATGACCAAGAAGCCACTGTGCCCATTATATGCCACATTTAAATGTTATTAATCCATTTTTCCGCTGGATACTCCAAACACCTATCTGTGTCTGGCACTGTGCTGGGTCTGGAAATTCAATAGGCTCCTCTTCCCTTCCAGGAGAGGAGTACTGGACAGGGGTGTAAAAAGGGCTTTTTTAGACCAAGGATCAGAAGCTCCTGGGCTCTCCCTGCTCCATCACCTGGGAATGGGGTCCCAGGAATGTGGATTTAAACCTGTTCTGATGTGATTCTTTGCCCATAGCATTTAAGAATCACTGGCCTAACAGAAGGAGATCAACACTTCCTCCACATCAACAGGAGCGAAGCAACAGGTCTTCATTGTTATAGAAGCAACAAGGGACTGGCTAGAGAGCCTGGCTCTTGATTCCTACAGAAAGGGAAGAGCCCCCTCCCAGACAAGTGCCTTTACTTACTGGAGCTCCAATGTGCCCAGGAGGCCCCGGAAGTCCAGGTGGTCCTTGGGGCCCCTGTAAAAGAGCATTCACAAAAAAAGGTGTGGGGATGGAAAGAAAAGACAAGAGCTGCCAGTCAATGGTCATGTTTGTCCCATCCCCCGCAAGAGCTGCCTGTGCCACCTGCACATGGTCTCCCCAGTAGACACACTCAACCTCTGCTTTCTCCCCATGAGAACTCCTGGACCACAATCACACTCAGATGTGCTGGGCTTCAAGGAATAACTAACAGTGTGTGTCTTTGAGCCATCAGAACCCAAATACAACTCTTCCCATTTCCACTTGCCCCAAATCCCTTAGCCTTCCAATAACCTGGCCTAGACACATTTTCAGCTTGCAACATGGTGCCCTGACCCTTGTGACTGCCATTCGCAAGTTGCCACAGGTTTGGTGCAACCTGGATGAGTCCTGACAAAGTGCCTAACAGAAGTCAGCAGAGCACGAAGTCTCCTCCATTACCAGGACTATAAATTTTCACAGCCTTTGATTTTTTTTTTTTTGGCGGTACTAGGATTCAAACTCAGGGCTTCACACTTGCCAGGCAGGTACTCTAACACTTGAGCCACTCTGCCAGCCCAAAAGCTCTTGTTTTTGTTTGTTTTGTTTTTTGGGCAGCACTGGAGTTTCAACCCAGGGCCTCCTGCTTGCTAGGCCAGTACTCTACCACTTGGGCCACTCCACCAGTCTACCACAGCCTTTGAGCAATGAATGCAGAAATATCTATTTAAAAGATACTACTCTAACACTGTAAATTTCTTCAGCCAAGGGCATTCCAACTTCTGTAATCTATCTCACTGCAAAAAATACAGTATGTAATGAGAAACGCACACATACCTGCTTTATTGCTTCACTGATTTTAGTGGAAAATAAACTAGAAAGAAACTCCAGGACTATAAATAGAAACATATAACTTGTAATGCTGTCCATATCATGGCATATGATGACAGCTTGATTAGGAGAATAAGGGAGGGTCTGTCTGCATTGATGTGGAAAGATGTCTCACTCCCACATCTCTTGTTAAAGTAAAAAAGATAAATTATCTTTGTATTAAAGATAAATTAGGTATATGACCCATTGTGTGACAATTTAGGAGAAATTATGGATATGTGCATACATACCCATATTCAAAGGAGGAAAGAACCCCACCTGGGCATCTTGTTTATACCCAAAGCAACTAGTTTTGCATCAGGACTTGTCTGTCCCCTGGGAACATATGTGGAGCACAGTTCACAGCAACTTACCCTCATGCCCACCTCTCCAGGCAGCCCTGGCTCTCCCAGCTCCCCTGGTTCACCCTGCACATAAAAAGTCAGCACATGGTCACAGACAGCAAGACACAGGTCCAGGAACTCCAGAGAAGCTCATGGCCTCATGGGGCACTGCTCCCTGCAGCTCAGATCTCATCACAGAAATGAAATGACCACCAGTGATGAGGAGTCCTTGGATGCTGTTTCTAAAAGCAAGGGAGCCAATCTTAACTGTACACAATGTCATCTCAACTATCACTCGCTCCCAACACCAGAGGTCAACAAAACTAAATTTGGACAGAAAATGGACAAAGCACAGACATCAGAGTCCCAGTGACAGGAGCCTTCATAGGGAAGGATTATGGTCATCTGGAAGGGAGCCAGAAAGGAATTTAGGGATCATGGAGTTCCCCCTTCTGTCCTGGTCTTCAGGACCTCAGATGTCCTACACCAGCTGTGGACTTTATGAGGTGCTTGGGAACCAGATTCCCACTCTGAGTCCAAGTCCTACATGGCTAAAAACGGAGAAGAAACAAAGGTGCAGATGCCAGAACCAGTTTTTATTTGGGCCCCTTGTGGAGAAGAGTATTCCTTTTCTCTAGAGAAGACCTTCATTTTGAGATCAGTTTCTGCCTGAGTTCCTGGAACATGCTCCAGCCCAGAGGAAGGTCAGATGAAAATGTGGCGTCCCAGAAAAGAACAGGAAGATGGTTGGGCATGCCAGCTGTGGGGCACTGTCTGGGTCTCAACATGACTCCTCTGGCTATGACTTGGGGACTTGGGTGAATGCTTTCCTCACTTGCACCAGTCCCCAGTCTAGACACTGGAAATGATAAGACCTGTGTGAAGAGCTTATGAACTCAGTGACAAAGCAACTTCCAGCACACAATAGGTGATGGCTAGACAGCAATAGCTGCTGCTGGTATTGTTATCACTATTAGAACAGAAGTTCAGGCATCTGGGAACAGCTGGTACAAATGAGCCCCAGCTCTGATTTGACCCTGGCAATGGCCACCCGACCAGAGGATACAGGACTTTGACCAGGAGGTCCCAGGCCACTGCTGTTTTGTGAGGTAGAGTGGTGGGAACAGAACTTACTCTCATGCCTTTACTTCCATCTCTCCCAGGGGGACCCGGCAGGCCTAGGGAACCCTAGAAGAAGAGGAAAAAATAGCAATTGCTAAATGATAAGGACGATGCTGAAGTAGGTCCTCAGGTTGCAGGGCAGTGGAGAAATTGCCTTGCAGGAGGTGGTGGGCTGGACCAAAGGCACAGGTTCCTTTATCATAGATGTTTACTTAAAAGTCTTAACTATGCTCTCTTGCCTGCAGGTGTCCAAGCTGTCCTCAACTACAGAACCATTTCATGGGCAAGAGAAGGAACTGCACCAACACAGAGCATGTGGGGGATGCGCTACAGAACCTTGGAAATTCAAGAGCAAAACCAAGCCCAAGACAGAATGAACAAAGATGTCTACTTATAAACTTTGGTGAGAGCCAGGGTACTACCACTTTCCTTTCAGCTTATGTTCACAGGGGCCCAAAAATATGGACTGCAAAAGAGAAAATACCAAGACAATCTTCAATTGGCAAGTTGGGTGGGATTTTTGGAAGAGGAGACATTCTAGTTGGTCTTTAGGTATCTTTGGCCATCTCTTCCTGAATACAAGGGGCAGTGTGCAGTCAGGGGCTATTTCCCAAGGCCAAGGATTGCTCAATGTGAACAGCAGAGAGTTCCTGTGGTCAGTCATTTCCTGGGACACATGGACTCAATAGAGTTCTTTATTGTGTCAAATTCTAATCACCTTCATTGAGTGAGTGCCACCATGGCAGGGTTCTCAGCCTCCATTTATACATCCACAAAATGAAGAGACACCACCCTGTTTGGCTGTCTCTCCAGAGAGTAAAGAAAATCATCTAAACACAAATGATTTTTGTCATTACTAGCACTAATAATGATTGAACTAACAGTAATAGCAAAGCAACTGCAGGTATAATACATTAAAGTGACAACGAAGACAGTGCTGACAAAGGTTCATCTTCATCACAAGTTTTCTGCATGCCAGGCACTGAGCACGTGGTGAATCACTGAGTTTAACTCGTCTCCACAACAGTTCTCTCACAGAGATGCAACTATTACCTCCACTTCATGGTTCATCTAAGGAACATTAAATAATCTGCCTAAAGCCAAGCATTTGATGAGGAAGAGCTGGACTTGGGGTCCCAGACTGTGCTTTTTAATGTTTTTCACCACATGTAATAGCATCACAATTCAGTGAATGCTCAGCAATCCTTGAACCAAGTGTTGTGATCTTCATTCTATGTGTGAGCACCATAGAGCAGAGTATGATGCTGGCTTTCTCAGGACCACCCAGAAGTCTATCTGGCTGAATGGGACAGGTAATACCTAAGCATCAGACATAGCTCTTCTTCCCCAGGAAGTGTGTTCTTCCCCTTAACCCTCAGCCAACCCCACTTCCCTGGAAATACTGAAGCTCCTGTAATTGCCTCACAGGATGCAAAAAATGCGTCTGAGCTAGGAGATGGCCAGTTGGTCGGGAATAGGTGGGGTCAGCCCCCACACACCCTGCCTGTCTTCAAGGTCCCTGTCCACATGCTACCCCTCTTGCACTGAGTAAATGGCTAGTGCATTCCTCATTGGCAGGACACCAGCCTTGTTGATTCTACATTCCTACAACCTAGGCCTAAATTGAAGGTTTTCCAAAAAGGAAGATCACAAAAGAATTAGGACTTCCTCTGAGGAAATGTCCTAGATGGTGCTTCCCCAGAATCATAACTATTAGGATACGTACTGCAAAGTTCACCCAATGCATCGATTATCCACTTAAAATAACAGGTCCTTGACAGCCAGTCTGTCTTCTGGCTCTTGAATGTTGGGAAATTCTGCAGCTGAAAGTAGGGAAATGATGTCTTGAGGAGCACCTGCCTCAGAAATAAATGTGGGGGCAGCAGGGTACTGTTGCTCTGAGAGTTGTCTAATAAAAGGAGTCAGGGATGAGAACAGAGACAATGCCAGAGAGAATTCTGGAGGGTTCCAGAACCCCTGCCTTTCCTCACAGTTGTCACTGTTCTAGCCTTGCTGGTTCTTTCAAATGGATGCCTAATAGCTGAGTTCATGAGACAGGAACTCAGCAATGAGAAAGCAAAACCACACAACCAGTGCCTGGCTCAATGCAGGAGCCTATGACTTCAATGCATTCTAAAGTCCTGTGAGCTTATAAGAAAGGCAAGTAAAGAGTCCCACTTGAAAGTTAGTCTTTGGGTAGGTAACCCCCCAAAACAAAGTGAACACACAGTGTGGTGCAAAGACAATGGTTTCTAGAGACAGCAAGTTACAGCTTCAAATTCTCTCCCCATCTCTCAGTCCTGATGACTTTGGCCAGGATAGTGAAATGCTCTGAGACTGAGTCTCCATCTGTAGGAAGGGATCATACACCTAGCTTCAGGATCTGGGCTTCCCAAGGACACAGACAACTTGGCAACTTAGTTTTGGATGTAACAGAAACAGCCACATGTACTTTTGCTTTGCATGTTAAGAACCTAACTGGAGGCCTCTTTAGAAATGACTGTTTACTAAGAAAGTGTAACAGCTGCTGAATTTTGCTTTCTCTGGTTAAGATAACCAAGCCAGCACTGCGAATAGACACAGTTTGAGAAATGCCCACTCTCACTTCAAGTCATCATGAAGATCAAGGCCTTTCATTGATTGGGTCCCTGAGTATGAAATTGTGTCTTCAAAGTGTCAACTGGCCTGAGGTATTTCAAATTTTAGTGTCACCTAATTTTAACACTGCAGAATACTACCATACTCCTGTGATACACATTCCAAAATTCTCCAGTTGGACTCACCATCAGCTGCCCTCAGTGTCTTTAAAAAGAGAAAGTCATAGCTCTAGGCCACCCATTCATATCCATGAAGGATGCCAATTAACCTCTCTGAATCTCAGCATCATCATTTGTAAGACAGAGTTTCATGCTGCTTTCAGATTAGAAATTAACGTGAACATATTTTATAGACTATAAAATATTATGGGAGCTGAAGATGTAGCTCAGTAGTAGGGTGCTTGCTATTATGTGCAATGTCCTGGGTTTGAGCTCCAGCATGGAAATACACATGCACACATACACACATTAAAATGCCAGTTGTTTGAATTCTGTTACGAAGTTTAAAAAAAAACCCTCAGCTGGGCATAGCAGTACATACTTGTAATCCCAGTACTTGGGAGGCAGAGGCAGGAGGATCACGAGTTGAGACTAGGTTGCATAGTGAGAATCTGTGTAAAAAAAACAAAAACAAAAACAGACCTCCTCTGAAGTCCAGGGAGTGAGTCAGTAAAAAAGAGTGGGGAAAAGACTGGAAATTGCCCCCAAGACTCTTAAGAATGTTAGGTCAGGCATGAGAAAAGCTTTAAAGAGAATATGATAGTTAAGGAGCCACCATAAAGTACCAAACAGACAAAAAAAGAAAGGTAAGAAAAGGAAACAAAGGGAAGAAAGGAGGTGTACATTTGCATGTATCCTCACTGGTATGTTAGCTCAGCAGAACACCCTCTTCCTGCTGTAGTTTGAAAGTCTGTGTCCCTCAAAATTCCTATGATGAAACCTAACTCCCAGTGGAGTACTATTAAGAGTTGGAGCCTAAAGGAAGAAGAATTAGGCCCTTTATAAAAGAGGCTCAAGGAAGCTTGTTTTCCCCCTTCTTCCCAGTGAGGACTCAGCAACCAGGTGCCATCTATGAAGCAGGGATTCCTCAACAGACACTGACTCTGCTGACACCCACATCTCAGACTTCTCAGTTTTCTCCAGACAATAAGAAATAAATCACTGTTATTTATAAATTACCCAGTGTTTACTATTATAGCAACAATAATGAACAAATACATCTTCCCTCCTATGTCTCAGCTCCATTCCTTGTAGAGGGAGTGATATAAAGAGGAATGCTGCCTCTGGCCCAAGAGAGCTGAGAAAGGCTTTGGATACAGGGAACTTCAAAGCAAGCAATAGGTACTGCCATTTTGATTAGACATTCTAAGCCTCCACACTTCACTTATAAAAAGGAAGTCACTCAAGTTGTTAGGAAAATAGCAATAGATAATTCTCATGAAATAAATCCCATGCAAAATAAAAGAAGGGCTCAGAGAAAATGGCCCTTTACAATTCTTGAGGGCAGTTGTGACTCAAAATTGGGGCTTGATTCCAAGTCCAGGCTCTGATCTCTCTGCCCCCGTCTCTCCTCTTCCTCCAGCCACACACACTGTGTCCATCATCTCATTTGGAGCCCCATGAGAGAACAACATCTAGCAGGAAATTACCCACTCCACCACCCATACCCAGTGTCAGCAACCAGAGCCTCAGGGATGCATCTTCTCATTGGCCAAGGTGCATAGATGCTCAAGAGCATCATCTCCTGTTAACTGAGTGTCAGGGCCTCTAAGTATTGATGAGAAGACTGCCGTTGCTAGAGGTGGTGTGTCCGTTTTATAAGAGGCATAGCAGACCCTTTGGGCGGAGTCTTAAGGCCAGTCTGGATAGCAGACCTCAAAGTGTGGCTCCTGGGCCAGCAACAGCAACACGGCGTGGACTTTGTTGAAAGGAAAATTCTTTGGACCACTGCAGAACTACTAAGTCAGATAGTCTGGGATGTGGGTTCCAGCTGATGTAGTTAATCCTGAAGGTGGTTTGGATGTGGACTCAAGTTTCAGAGCTATTTTTCAGAACAGACAAATGCAGGCGGTAGAGTCAGAAACCTCGAGTTCAGATACTAGCTCCAACCACAAAGAGAGCTGAAATTACCAGCTCCTGAATCCAGTTAGTGGCCATAGCCTAGTAATGATATCCACTCAAAAGTTAAGCTCTTTAGCTTGATTTCGTTAGCATGTGCAGGAATTGTAGCAGACAGTAAGTGCTCAACAAGTAAACACTTGGTACTGTTACTTTTCTTAGGTTCTCTGTAAGTTATTTTAGATGCACTGAAGAAATAGACTGCCACAACCGCCCACCTAGAACACACTTTCTAAGAACACTCCCTGGGCTTCCCTAGACCTTGGGAGTTGCAGAAATCCTTCTCACGGGGAGACGGAAGGTCTCTGACCTTCTGCAGCTGCCAGATGCCTCTGGGGATAAAATCTCATAAATGCTGAGAAAACAAAAGACGTCATTTGGTTATAAAAATGGAGCACTATGCTGGCGTAATGGCAATTATACCTAACATTTATGAACACTTTTTACAAATATAAGTCATTTATTCCCATTAGCTCATTTAATCCTTGCAGCACCCCTCTAATGTAAGTATTATATTTGCCAATTCACAGATGGGGAAAGCCAGGGTTATGGAGGCTAAGTAATGGCCTCTTTCGTACAGCTGCTAAGTGACCCCATCCAATCTGTGTCTGGCCTCTTAGCATCCCCTGACCTCTCAGTTGAGTCATCCAGCATTTACCCTTCCTATAAATGCTCTCCCCCTCTTATATGAAGCCCTTAGTCTTGAGACTGGTCCATTAGACTTGGCAAGCACCTAATTGCCAGACAAAGCTGAAGGAAAAAACGTGCAGACTTTTCTCTATTCAGTTCTGCTTGGGTTGTGAGATCCATGAACACAAAACTTCCCTAAGGTGTCATTCAGCACATGGACAGGACCCATGACCCCTTTCCTCATTCTCTCAGCATTGGCCCCCAACGTACTAGGCTACATGAAGATACATAAGCAGCTAAACTGTTTTCCCCTACCCCAAATCCTTTGGTTATTGTAAAAATAGAAGGCACTCAACCAGTTACCAACTTAGTCACCATGAATAATGCAGATTAATGCATAAGCAAAGACAAGGAAGTGAGGGTGTGTATTAACCCAGCCATGTGCAAAGAACCCAGAACTAGAAGCAAACGGCACTAATATATCTTAGAAGTTTCACACATATAAACATAAACATATAATTTATATTTTCTGGCTCAGAGGTTCTACAATGCAAACTTTATGTAAAATGTTTAGATTCCTATAAGGAATATGGTTTGTTCAGGTCAAGAATACCAGCATTTCTTTCAGAGATGGGCAGGGTATGGCACAGGCCAATCCAATAGACACAAATGGAGGGATTCCCCTCTGAGTTTTGTCTCTTGTATCAGATACACCCAGCCTCAGCCAACCAATCACCAGTTCTTGTGATCATGAATACAGCCCAGCCTCCTTCAAGGGGCTTAAGAGGCTGATGCTTATAAGCCGAAAGTGTGGAATATAGTAAAAGGCCAATAAAGGACTGATGACATGAGTTTTTACACTACATGGTACCCTCTTCCAGGTATTAGAGCTTTCTAGTCAAAATTGCCAGCTTCAGCCAATGAATTCTGCATGGCTACTCCTGCTAACATCCTCATTGATTGTTTTCAGAGAGAACCACCAAATTAAAAGCATACATTTTATTCCTTGCACATGCTCTGCATGTACAAAAGACTCCTTTTCTTAGTCCAATTGGGCTGCTGTAACAAAATGCCTTAAATTAGGGACCTTATAAACAACAGAAGTATATCCTCTGGAGGTTAGAAATCCAAGATTAAGGCATGAGCAGTTTCGGTATCTGGTGAGGGCACTTCCCGGCTCATAGGGGCACCTTCTTGCTGTGTCCTCACATGGTGGAAGGGGTCAGAGGGTCTGCATTTGACCTCTTTCATAAGAACACTGATATCACTCATAAGTCTCCACTCTCCAAAACTCCACCTTCTAATAGAGTGACCTTGGGAGTAGGATTTTAACAGAGGACTTGTGAGGGTACACATACAGTGGGACCACACATTAATATAAACAAGTGTCTTATGGTTTCTGGAGATCTTTTCTGGTCACTACTTTGGAAAGGAGGCACCCAGAAGAAAAACCTCATGTAACAGAGCTCCTTCTTCACCCATTTCTGCAGCCCAAATCAACCTCCAAGAATACTTCTCATCGTGTAATTTCCAAAAAGACTGATTCTGCAATACTCAGAGGGCATGAGCTTGACATGACAGTCACCTTGGGTGACTGAGGCTCAAAAACTGACCACAAGTATAGTGCCGTGACAGAGTGGAGCACGAGCTATGCTGTATTGGATGCTGTGTGACCTCTCATGCCATTTTTTATTCTTACACAGTAGTTACTGTCTGCACACATGCCTGGGATTTTAGTGAGGGGAGAAGTTATTGGGGTATAAATGAACATACAAAGAAAAGTGAGAAAAGCACACTCATAACTTTGTCACCCACAGACCACACTATACATTTCACAATGTATTTTGAAACCAAAGTATCATCTGTATTTTTAGGTCATTATTTATCCTCCTATGATTTTGCACCCTGGTACTATTGCATTATTTAGCTGCACATTTCCCCCTTTGTCCTCTGCACAGCATTGTCTCATTTCTAGTCTCGCTTATAAATTATTCACATATATATTTAGTCTCACTTGTAAAGTCCACATGGGTATATAGCTGTGCATATCTCAATACATCACTTTAACGTCAATCTAGATGGGAAAGTACTAAAGATGTACGTACAGGGAGAGAACAAGCTGCCCACATGGGAGCTCATTCCCGTCATTTCAGAAGACAGCCATCAGCTCTATGCGGGGGCTGATGCAGCCCCTCCCAGGGTACAGTGGCACTGTGTTCTGCACTGCAAGGGCATTTGTGACACATATATACACCAAGAGTCTTGTGGCTGTTTCTCCAGGGAAATGGGAGTTGTTTTGTTTTTAAATAGCTGCTGTGAGTGAAAAACAGCATCTTTAGTGGCTCTTTGCTTTTGATTTCTTCTTATTGGCTAACAATTTAAGGATTTCTTCTTCAGAAGACCCACATTCCCCCCAGATCTGCCATGCTGTGTCTGTCATGCTAAAGTAACAGGAGGTACAACTTTCATAACTGGAGAGAACATTTTAGGTCTCCCACAAATTTTTTAGTTCTCTGCCTGTTCCTTCCTGCTGCCATCACTGGCTCTGAACCTCGTCTCCTCCCCTTTAAATCTCCTGACTCTTCTTCACATTCCTCTGGGCATCTCCTCTCAGCTCTACCTGGAACCTGCTGTTTGAGCATCTTCAGCATCGTAGAGCACACACCGACCCCTCCCTTCAGCAGCTCCTTACCACCATGCATGAAGCCTAAATGTGTCTTGATAGTTGATGTCCTGCATGGTGGTCCTCAAACTCTTTCTCCAGCTCTATTTGCTACCCTCTGAGTGACACTGCATGCCCTCTGCCCTCAGCCTTGTGAACCACCTTCATCTGAAGCAATTTCACCTCCACAATTCACTCATGCTCTTCACACCACTGGGAGATCCTGCTTGAAACCTCTACTCTTTGGGTGCCATTCAAGTTTTCACTGCTCTCAACTGCCATTTCCTGTCTCCATCTTTCCTGCTGTCTACATGTGTTTTGATCACCTGAGTTGGAAGGACACATATGGCCCATGCTGCAATGCAGGGGGCCTCTTCTCCCTACAGAAATTCTTGCTAGGTAGCACAACTGTAGCATCCTCCCACACACAAGGACCCAAGTCCCCTATCTTGTCCTTTGGAGAAGTGTAATAAACGGAGGTGCTTACCTTTTCACCCTTTTCTCCTTGTACAAAGGGTCCTCTGCCCTAGAAAAAGGAAAGCAGAAAGCAAAGGTTACTGCAGTTCATCTCCATGCCATGAAATGACTGGATGCGTTCTCATTAGTTCTGCCCAGAGCCCCTAAGAGAGATGTAATTATTATTCATTGAATGTAGATTCTCTTGGGTACCATCTCCTTTAATGTCTCCAGTTATTTGACATTATATGTACTATTCTTTGTTTCCCTAATAGCTTTATTGGAATATAATCTGCATATCATGCAATTCTCCTATTTAAAGTATCTAATTCAATAGTATTGATGTATTTTAGAGTTGTGCAACAATTACCATAATCAATTTGGGAACATTTCAGTCATTTCCAAAAGAAGCCATATCCAATAGCAGTCACTTCCCCCCACTCCCAGTACTGGACAAATAATAAACTATTTTATGTCCCTACAGATTTGCCTATTCTAGCCATTTGATATAAATGATTCAATGTGTGGCTTTTTATGACTATCTTCTCTCACTTAGAGGAGTCTTTTCAAGGCTTATCCATATGTTCCACCACATATCTGAATTTCTTTTTTTTTTTGCAGACTAATACAGCAACATATGAATATAGCACATTTTATTTGTTCATTCTACATGTAATGCTCATTGCTTCTACTTTTGGGTATTATAAATAATCCCACTACAGACACTTGTGTGTAAGTTTTTGGGTGAACATATGCTAATATCTAGAGTATCGCTGAGTCACATTTTGAGAATGCCAGACTGTTTTCCCTAGAAATGTCACCATTTCATACCAGCAATGTATGAAGGCTGAGATTTTTCTGAGGTATTGAAGTCTATAGCCATTGTTATTGTCTGTTTCTGGTTTGAATTCTACAGTTGTATAGCATATACTTTGAGGCTCTGCTGTTAGGTGCTTAAATGTTTATACTTGTTATATATTGTTAAAGGACTGACCCTTGTATCATTATAAAATGTCTGATTATTAACTATTTCTGTCTTAAAGACTATTTTACCTGATAATAGTGTAATCATTCCAGATTTTTATGTTTTCTAGTTTTAGAATGTATATTTTCAGTCCTTTTACTTTTACTGTATATATAGTTTTGTTTTGTTTGGTACTGGGAATTTAAACCAGGGCCTCCTGCATGGTAGGCAAACACTCGACCACTGAGCTACACACTGAGCCCCTATTTATATATCTGAATGTAAAGTATATTTCCTATAGACAGTGTATTAGATCTTGTTTTTACTTTCTGTCTGAAAATCTCTGGTTTTTAGTTGTTTTATTTAATACACTCATGCATAATGTCATGATATACAGAATTCAATTTATATATACATCAGTTTATTTTTGTTATCTATATGTCTCTTGTCTTTTCTACTCCTCATTGATGAAGTTATTTTCTGGTGTGATATTTTAATTTCTTTAATATTTTCACAATATAGTGAAATCTGTATATATTTCAGGTTTATAGAAACCATACTTCCAGTGAGATGTACAAACATTTCTTCTCAGCTCTATCCCCTCTTCCTCCTTTTGTTCACTATTATTGCCATGCACATTGCACATATATTTGGTAAACACCCAACATGTTATACTTATTACTTTGAACTTGTCATTACACTGCATTTTGCTCCATTATTTCTGCTGACTGCTCAGTTGTTAATTTTATTGGGTTTCCTTGTATCTGATGAGTCATTTTTCTCTCTTGATGCTTTTAGTTTCATTTGCCTTTGAGCACTTTTATTATGGTGTTTATAAGTGTGTATCTCTTAGTGTTCATCCTAATTAAAGCTCATTGAGTCTCTTGAATGTGTAGATTATGGCTTTCATCAAATATGAGATGTCTTCGCCTGTTATTTCTTAGAATATTTTTCTACTTCCTCTTAGAACTCCTCCGATGTACACAGTGGTGCACTTTATACCCCCATATTCTCTGACACTGTTCAGGTTTCTCCATTATTTTTTCTCTGTCATTCAGATTACATAAACTCTATTGAGATATCTTCAGGAATGCTACTTCTGTCTTCTGGCTGCTCAATCTACTGTTTCTAGAGATTTTTTTAAATTTCAGTTATTTTCATTTTTGAACTCCAAAATTTCCATTTAAGTTTCATCCCTTTGTTGATTTTTATATATGTAAATATACATATACATATATGTATATATGTATGTATATATATATTATATATATATAGTAGGCAATATTGTCACCATCCCTTTCTTTGCTTCTTTAAGAAAGCAAAGTTAGTTATTTGAATATAATTTCAGTGATTACTTGAGGGCTTTGTCTGTTAAGTCCAATGTCTGTGCCTTTCACTGACACTTTCTGTTGCCTGCTTTCTTTTTCTATTTGTGTTACATTTTCTGTTTCTTTACACATCTTATAAGTTTTTGCTGAAAACTAAATATTTTGGGAAATATATTGTAGCAACTCTGGACATTAACACTTTTCCTTCTAGGACTGAGTTTGTTGTTTTCTTGTTTATTGGCTGTTAACGCAGCTAGGTTTTGTGAGTGAGGTTATCCTCTTCTCCAGTGTTATTTCCAATGCCACTTCTCAGAGGGCATGAGCTTGACATGACAGTCACCCTGGATGACAATGGTGTTAGAAGGCTCTTTTTCACAGTCTGTGTTGATGTCAATCTGCCTCCTAAATTCGTCATACTCCCAGCTGGTTATTGTTTTTTCTACCTTATGGTGTTAATTGCTCCACAATCTGATCCAACTAAATTAGTTGGATCCAACTAAATTAGATCTCCCTCACATGACTAGCTGTAGCCAGTCACTGAAGTATGCTTTTTTTTTTTCGTTTATTCACATGTGCCTACAATGTTTGGGCCATTTCTCCTCCCTACACCCTGCCTCCTCCCTCTCCCTCCCACCCCCCTTGCTTCAGGCAGAAACTGTTTTGCCCTAATCTCTAATTTTGTTGAAGAGAAAGTATAAACAATAATAAGAAGGACAAAGCATTTTTGTTAGTTGAGATAAGGATAGCTATACAGGGAGATTCCTAGCATTGCTTCCATGTACATATGTGTTACATTCTAAATTGATTCTTCTGACCTTTTCTCTAGTTCCTGATCCCCTTCTCCTATTGGTCTCTGTTGCTTTAAAGTTTCTGCATTAGTTCCTTTGCATTGAGGACATCAAATACTATCATGTTTTTTGGGTTTCTTACTTATCCTCACCCCTCCCTTGTGTGCTCTCGCTTTATCATGTGACCAAAGTCCAATCCCCTTGTTGTGTTTGCCCTTGATCTAATGTCCACATATGAGGGAGAACATATGATTTTTGGTATTTTGGGCCAGGCTAACCTCACTCAGAATGATGTTCTCCAGTTCCATCTATTTACCAGCGAATGATAACATTTCGTTCTTCTTCATGGCCGCATAAAATTCCATTGTGTATAGATACCACATTTTCTTAATCCACTCGTCAGTGGTGGGGCATCTTGGCTGTTTCCATAACTTGGCTATTGTGAATAGTGCCGCAATAAACATGGGTGTGCAGGTGCCTTTGGAGTAACCTGTGTCACATTGTTTTGGGTATATCCCCAAGAGTGGGATTGCTGTATCATATGATATATCTATGTTTAGATTTTTAAGAAGCCTCCAATTTTTTTTCCAGAGTGGTTGTACTAGTTTACATTCCCACCAACAGTGTAAGAGGGTTCCTTTTCCCCCACATCCTTGCCAACACCTGTTGTTGGTGGTGTTGCTGATGATGGCTATTCTAACAAGGGTGAAGTGGAATCTTAGTGTGGTTTTAATTTGCATTTCCTTTATGGCTAGAGATGGTGAGCATTTTTTCATGTGTTTTTTGGCCATTTGAATTTCTTCTTTTGAGAAAGTTCTGTTTAGTTCAGTTGCCCATTTCTTTACTGGTTCATTAATTTTGGGAGAGTTTAGTTTTTAGAGTTCCCTGTATATTCTGGTTATCAGTCCTTTGTCTGATGTGTAGTTGGCAAATATTTTCTCCCACTCTGTGGGTGTTCTCTTCAGTTTAAAGACCATTTCTTTTGCTGTGCAGAAGCTTTTTAGTTTTATGAAGTCCCATTTATCTATGCTATCTCTTAGTTGCTGAGATGCTGGGGTTCTATTGAAGAAGTCCTTGCCTTACCTATTTACTTCCAAAGTGTTTCTTACTCTTTCCTGTACCAACTTTAGAGTTTGGGGTCTGATATTAAGATCCTTGATCCATTTTGAGTTGATGCTAGTACAGGGTGATAAACATGGATCTAGTTTCAGTTTTTGCAGATGGCTAACCACTTTCCCCAACAACTTTTGTTGAAGAGGCTGTCTTTTCTCCATTGTATATTTTTAGCGCCTTTGTCAAAAATAAGGTGGGTATAGTTGTTGAGGTATGCTTCTGATCCCAAGAGGGCTCTTCTCAACTGTGTCTCTTCCTGGTTCTCCCTGATAAGTGAGCTGGCCTATGGTGCATCTTGGGGATCTCATAGAGCCACTACTCTCCTCCTAATCGGTGACTACCCAAAGCCCCTTTGTGTCTAGACATTCCTTAATTTTCACTTCCCCATGCTCTGTTTCAGAGTCAGCACCTTAGAGGAAAGATTCAGAAATCTCTGTTCTTATGGACTAAATCTCTGAGTTCCTGTTCTAGAACTAGAGATCCGAACAGTGGCCCCTTCTCTTAGGGGTTCCCTTGCTGAGCAGAAGCAGTACTCCTCTAAACTTGAATCTTCCAGTGTGGAACCTCAACCCTATTAGTGAGTAGGAGTGATTTCCATCAGGGACCCAACATCCCTGGCTTGTCACACTTGAGACAGAAGTGCCAGTCTCTGAGTAGGGTTTTTTTTGGGGGTGTGGGGGAAGCCTACATCTCTTGGCTATACCTGCCTAGAATTTGGCCTCTGTGACTCGAGGCCAATGTTGGGGTTTCACCAGGTATGGATCTTTTGTTGGGAGTGGATGTGGAGTCACTCATGCACCATTCCAAAAGCAGACCTGTATAAGTATTATTTTTATATCTAATTAGTACATATGGAAAATAAAGCTCAGAAAGATCTAGCATCTTCTTCAGTTCATGAAGTGGGTAGTGGAACCAGATTTGAATGTGGACCATCTGAAGCTAATGTCACTGTCTCAATCCCAGTGCTGTTTGCATCCATGCAGCTGCTGTCAGCACTGGGCAGGCAGTATTGACAATGGTTGCACACTGGACTGCTGCCCAGAGTCCAGGGCTCCAGAGGACAACCAAGTTTGTTCTCTGATTCTAGAACAAAGTTCTCACAACCTCCCTTCCTCTAAACCCAACTTTACGTACAGCATTTGACATAAGGTGAGTCTTGCTTCAGAAATGGAAGGAAGAGGAAAGGTCAGAGACTTCCTATACCCTCTGCCTGCCAAAGGGCTTCCTACATTCCACACTTTTTAAGTTACTCCAGTTTTCTGAGCTTCATTTTGCTCATCTGTATGATGGGAATTTATTTCATCAGGCAAGTTGATGTGAGAGCCAAACCTGAGGGCATGTGGCATGGAGCCAGGCACAGTGAGTGCTGGCACAGTCCCCAGTTCTTACTGTTTCCAGGCCACTTTGCATGGGTGCTTACTACCACCACAGGAGAAGGTCTACAGAGCACAGTGGAAGGTAAAGTCACGCAAAGTAGATCAGGATTCTGATTAAAACAGCTGCAGGCCTGTGTTCTGTCTCTGCCACATCCAACCTCTGGGATTAAAGGAAAATCTCAGACGTCACCATTAGAGATGTGATATGACTTGACTGTGGTAAAAATTGTTACAGGGACTGAAAGAACCCATGGGGAGTGCCTGCACAGATCACATTGGACAGCTACAGCAATGACCACATTGGTAAGCAGAGAATTGAGTGTGATGCATTTGCCACATGAGTTCCCTAGGAAAGGACTTTGTCTCATGGTCAGGGCTTCCTTCTGAGCACTGAGAACCTACAAGGAACCAATTCCAGTCACACACACTGAAAAAGACAGTTGCCAATCTCGGACCATCTACTACGGGCCAGGCATTTTATAAACAAAGTAACTGTTATTCTCATTTTGCTAATGGGCTAAAGAACTTTCAGAGAGGTTAGACACCTGCCCAAGTTCACACAGCTAATAGGAGCTGATGTCAAGGACAATAACTAAGGTTCATCTGATGCTACTACACATGTGCTGGAGGTCAGGCTGAGGAGGGTAGTGCTCCAACAGATCAGGGGACCATAACAGCAATAACAGCCTTTACTATGCTTCCAGCACTGATCTAAGTTGTTTGCATGCATTAATCATTTACTTCTCATAACAGTCCTGGGCAGGTTAATCAGCCCCATTGTACAGATGAGGAAACTGATAACAAAAGGTTCCTGCCTAGGTGGAGCAAGACCCTTTCAGCTGTGTGGCTTCTGAGTCTGTGTTCTGACCTGCAGAATGTTGATCTTTCTGATTCTTTTGGTTTTTAGCAGTACTGGGGTTTGAACTCAGGGCCTTGAGCTTACTAGGCAGACCACCTGCTGCTTGAATTATTCCTCCAGCATCTCTGATTTGTTTCCTGATCTCCATCAGGCAGAAAAGGGTGTGGAAAAATGGAGTTGATGGAAGGGAAAGTATCCTTGGTAGAGGAAAGAGCACAGGCAACAGCCAGAGTGAGAAAGGATACCATGCGACCAGTTCGGAGGGGCAGAGTGGGGCTAATTTGGAAGCACAGAATTCTAGGGATGGGGGAGGGAACAGAGATGGGGCCATGTCCAGTAGGTCCCTGGCCCATGGAGAGACCAGCTCAGTTCCTGGCACTCACCAGGTCTTCAGCCCACACTTGCTTTTTAAATTTTGTAATAGTATATGATGGTTATACAGGGGTTTTTGTTGTGACATTTCCATATATACATATATTGTACCCAGGTTTGATTCACCCCTCCATTATTCTTCCAACTCCCATTCTTAAAATGACTTTGATAGGTTTCAATGGTCCATATTTATACATGTATCAAAAACACATCAACCATATTCACCTTCCTTTATCCTCTTCATTTACCCTTCCCCTCCTGCTATTACCCTTCCCTTAGCATGACCTGTTTTACATGGCTATCCTTTATTGCTTTAGTGTCTGTTCATTGCTGAGTGGGGTTTTGCCTTGGTATTTTACTTGCAAATATATTTTACTCTAATCGGTCTGACCCCTCTATTACTCTTCCTTACCCTTTTCCCTTACTCTGTATTGTTCAATAGTTTTCAGTGTGTTTTGTTCAGTATCAATCACTCTCTATCATTCTTTTCTTCTTTTCATCCTGCCTTAGCTTTGTCTCCTCTAACAGTCCCACTTTTGGAAACACATTTGTGTATGTGTGTGTGCGTGTGCACATGTGTATGCATGTGTGTGTGTACACATGTATGTGCGTGTGTGCACGTGTGTGCTGTGTGTGCATGTGTATGCATGTGTGCGTGTGTGTGCACATGTATGTGCGTATGTGTGCGTGTGTGCACGTGTGTGCTGTGTGCATGTGTATGCACGTGCATGTCATGTGTGATAATACTTGTGCTTGTATTTGGATTTATCTTCCATATACGAGAGAAAACTCACAACTTTTTTCTCTACCATCCTGGCTTGCTTCACTTAACATGATGATCTCCATTTCCATTCATTTATATGAGAACAACACAATTTCATTCTTATTTATGGCTCAGTAATGTTCATCAGATATATATGTATGTATGTGTGTATATATATATATATCGTATTTTATAATCCATCCATCAGCTTTAGGGCATCTGGGCTATTCCCATAGCTTCAGCCTACACTTGTTGAATACCATGACCAGAGTTGGGGTACAGGGGGTGAGCCTGGGTCACCCACACCAGCCATGTGGTTCAGTCACACAGAAATAGCACATAACTCACCATGTCCCCTTTCTCTCCCTTGGGTCCAGGAGGGCCCATCAGTCCAGTTGCTCCCATGTCTCCCTGAGAGGTTGAAACCAGAGGCAAACATTAGTTTAGGTCCTACAACAGCGCTCCTGGTTCACAGGCTAACCACTGCCAAACTTGCCCCAGTTCCCTCGAAGCAGCTGAGGTGGTCTTTGCCAAGTGCATGTGTCCTACACCCTACAAGGGGAGGAAGCACCTACGCCATTCCCCACATTACTGCCATTTACTCACAGACCTGTGTATATCACCAGACTCACGTGCTTCAGGACAGGGCCCATTTAACCATCCTCCATCCCTGTGTCAACCCCAGTGTCTGGCCTATAGCAGATGTAATAATAATGAGCTGATGAATTCTAAACTAAGAAAGGCTTCGAGGGCCTGGGGGGAGGGAGACACAGAGGTAGAGCAGGAAAAGGGAATGGAAAGGGGGAGAAAGGGGAAAGGAAAGTTTAGTTGAGGGATTCTGACACAGAGAAAGGAAAGGAAGGAGAACTGAGACACCCAGATGTCTCAGGTGTCTCCACCTCCACTTTCAGGCCCTCTTTGAAACATCAAGCCAGGTGATGGCTGGCTGTGCTACAATGCAGAACTCTTTCACCCCATGACCATGAGCGCTTGGTACCTTCCAGGTCTCAATTTTCTGAGACCAAAACTTTGATTGGAGAAGATGGCACCCTGGGAACAAGGAAGGGAAAGGAGGCTGCTCATGACTTAGGATACAGGGCCGATGGGGTTCACTTTGTGTATAATTAACGAATACAAAAATTTTATAAACAAAAACTTCATACAGTTTAAATGAATCTTAAAGAGCCAATCCTTGAAAGTCTCTGGAACACATCAGCTTGCAAGGAGTGATACAGAATTAGCTGACTCCTGTGGAGAGTTGAGTCTGTCAGAGCAAACAAGCTTCTGAGCCTGGGATCTGGAAATCTTGCACTTTCTCATTCTTATTTTCAGGCTGAGAAGTGAAGTTCTGAGTAGATCAGAAACTCATGTGTTTGACACAAGGCAAAATGCTGGATGGACAGTGATCTAACTTTCCATTGTCCTTCCACAGAGAGCAAAGCAAGGAGCACTTGGGCCCCAAAGGACACCTGTGCCATGCATGTCAGTACTGACCTTCAGACCAGGGAGCCCCATAGGGCCATCAAAGCCCTTTTCACCCTATAGAAAGAAAAACAAAAGGAACAAGTAAGGCTCTATTTTAATCGTTCCCCTCTCATCACAAGCTGGTTATCCACCCCACGCACTCAAAAGCCAGTCTTATAAGCCAAGTGCCCACCAACACATCAGACAGGGAACTGGCTGACTGGACCTGAGAGCCCCGTTCTTGAATTGCAAACCTGCATGGAGTGTGCACCACCACACCCATCTCTTTGAGATAGAGTCTTGTTAATTTCTTTGCCCTGGCTGGCCTCAAACTAACTCCAGTAGCTGGGATTACAGATGTGAGCCATGGCATCTGGCAAGAACATGTATTTTTATTTATTTTATTTTATTTTATTTTATTTTATTTTATTTTTTGGCAGTACTGGAGGTGGAACTCAGGGACTCATGCTTTCTAGACAGGTGCGCTATCACTTGAACCATGCCTTCAGCCCTTTTTGCTTTAGTTCATTTTGAGATACAGTCTCACCTTATGCCTGGGCCAGCCTCCCATTTGTGTTTTCCCAAGTAGCTGGGATGACAGACATGAACCAGTACCCACCCACTGGTTGAGATGTGGGTCTCATGAATTTTCTGCTTGTGCTGACCTTCAACCACAATCCTCCCTATCTCCTTCTCTCAAGTAGCTAGGATTATAGGCTTGAGCTACCACCACTGGCAAGAGTTTGTTATGCTGGGTGGGGGTACATTGTGGCATTTATAAACGTTCTTACAATGTATCAAATATATCATACTTGAATTCACCCCCTCCACATGCACTTTTAAAATACTTTCGCTGTTTCCATTTACATACATGTGTGTATTTGACCTTTCACAGTATCCAGCAAAATACCTTAGACACTGTTCTTGCTGGCCACAATGTCTGATCACAGAGATGTAAACAGGGACTCAAAGACATTATGATGACCTCACAAAATGTTTTGCAAATGGAATGGAAGATTTAAATGACTGGAAACAAAATGGCCAGAGCTCTGCCTCCTACCAGAGGACTCAACATGCATGGCCCTGTTGGGTTTTTCAAGCTGTCAGGAGCAGGAGGCAGAGTTCGCACCTGCTTCACAGGTGGTTGTGAAGCTCCTCCATGTAGCCCTTTATCTGGGGTTTGGGGGAGCAGGCTGCCTTCCTGCCCATCTGTGCTGAGGAAGACAGCAAGTTCCCTGGGATGATCCAGGACTCCGAGCCTCCACTTCCCAACCAGAGAGCAGACTATAGGACTTTTGAGGGTCATGTTCTGCTTGTCCTAAAGCCTCTGTTTATGGTACAGTGTGATGTACACAGCAGATGCTTAATGTCTAGGTCAGAAATAAGGAATGATGGTTGAATAAAGTAATAAGCTATCAGCTGATGACAGCAAGAATGTGAAGCTCACTACGTACACTAATGACCTTGTCCTGCAAGAGGGAGAGTGTGCCTTTAACCCTCACCCTGTCTGTCCATCCACCAACCCATCCATCTACTGTTTTATACCATGACCCACTCATCCATCAATTCAACCACTACTCAAAAATATCCTTCTCTGTGCCAGGCTACATAGAAGTCACCCAAAACACAGACGTGAAGATTCAGTCTCTGTCATCTGGATTTTAGGGTTTTATGGAAACAAAGACAAGGGCACATTTTCAGCTCAGTATTATCACTGCTATGATAGGTGAAAACTTGGGAGAGGAAAAGGACTTAGTACCTTGGAAAGAATGGGTACTGGACAGTGATTGGATAAATGGGAAATAATAGCAGGGAAGGATGTAAAGGAAAAGAAATAGAGGGAGGAAAAAGAAAGAAAGAAAGAAGGAAAGAAGGGGAGGATATCATATAGATAATATTGTGCTCAGCAATGATTCCTTGGCCATACTTTGGAAGAAGGCTAGAAAAAGCTGTTCTAGACAGAACATCTGCATATGCAAATGCCACAGGTTGAGAAGGGTGAGGGTCCCTTCAAGAAACCAGCTCTTGCCTGGCCTAGAAAATGGAAGGAGAAAGTGTGAGAAGAGGATAGAAGGCCCCTGGGAACCCATAATGGGTGGTGTAGAGGTAGTAGTAGCAGAGGGGGTGTTCTAAAGCCACACTAAGAAGGTCAAAGCAGAACTCAGGTGCTTGTAAGCTGGTGTGTAGGAAGCCAGGTGAGGGGTAGCTATGCTTGACCCAGATTCCCCTCCTGGGGTCCCTGCCAGTGACCAGAGAAACCTTTGCAGTACCCACCCAGACATGGGCCTGGCTCTGTAAAACCTTGGCCTGGGCAGAGGTGACTGAGTTCTCTGTACACACAGTGGTGGGAGATCAAAACCTCCCCAGGCCCTTCTCACTGGGCTCTAACTGAAAACAAAATTCAGAAGGGTTTAGGTTTGGACAGCTGCTTCTGTGGTTTCATTGGCATGAGGAAGGGAACCGTCTGCAGCCTGAGGCCAACCTGAGACTGTTAGGTGCATGAACTGTAAACCCTAGTGCTGTATGCACACACCCTGGTTCCTTCCTCTGCCCACTTTATCCCTAACCTGGGTACCAGGCTGGGGGTGTCTTAACATCACTTATAGCTCAGACAGGGCAGGACAAGGCTGGCTTTAGGTTGGATCTTTCATAGATTGGACAACCCCATTTGACTAGGAGCTTCTTAACGGCCCCAGTGTCCCCATGGTCTGCCTTTCTGGGTAGAACAAAAGGAAGGTGGGGGAAGGTATGAAGAATAACAGAGGGCAGAAAAGAAGGAAAGGGAGAGTCTGTCTACCAGGACACCTTACTGTTATTGAAATGTTCAAAGCATATCACTCCAGCTACCCTCAACCACTGCTTCACCTTTTAACCTGTGTGTCACTAGTCCCAGGCAGGGTCCTTTCTGCATGTGGCACTGAGCTGAGACAAGCAGATGAAGATAGACACATGCTATTAATACAGGACCCTGGGAGTACTGGTCCAAAGGAACTTAGAGCTTTTCCCTTCACAGCTCTACTTTTTGTCACCCTTGTGTGTACTTTTATGCTCCTTGAGTTCCAACAGTGAAGATTGTTTCTTACCAACAGCCACTTAGTCTATAGAAAAAAGCTAAAAATCAACCTCAGATACATAATGAGATATGTAATCTGCCTAGTGGATGGTGGTGGTGGTCTTCCCAGAAATGTACTGATTTTATATATATATATATATATATGTATGTATGTACATACATACATATTCAGATTATGGAGTGTGACTAATTAAAGGAAACATTGAGCCCAGCACTCAGGATGCTGAGGCAGAAGGATGGCAAGTTCAAGGCCAGCTTGGGCTACATAAAGAGGTAATATCTGAAAAAAAACAAATGAATAAAAAATATAAAGAAAACATTTAGAAGAAAGCAGCAGAGGAGGTCTCCATGCAGAGTATATCCAAACCCCCATTCGTTGTCCCTCCAAGTCTTATTCACAACCCAAATCTACTTTGATTTACTTCCATGAGAATGAATTGATACAAGTAAGAGCCAGAAAAGCCTCAGGAGTACATTATTGACTTCAGGAAAATGTCAATGAGAACCAAGTCTGAGACTCTCCTCTTTCAGTGTGCACAAAAAAATCAAGAGGCACAATGTCTAAGGAATAAGAATGGAGCTATGAACTGAAAGCCACTGTGAGCCTGGAGCCATCCTTCCCTGAAGATCAGGTGCATGATGGGAAACTCCCACCTCACTATCTGGTAGTCCTACCAATCAGCATTTCTCCACTCAGCTCTGAAGCCGCGGGATGGGAACAAACAGTGGACTATGGATGGTACCTTTTCTCCAGCTGGACAGGAGCAATTGATGGTCTTCAAGAACCCGATCTGTTCACTGCCGGGGGTGGGTGGCTGTGGGGGCACAGGTGGAGGCTCCGTCATCACAGTCACCTGGCACTGGAAGGAAAGGCCAGTGGGTCAGAATCTGGCTTGTCACTGAGAACCCATACCCTAGTAAGGAGCATGATCTCCAGGACTTCTAAGGAACTGGGCAGGCAAAAGGGACCCAGAAGCCCCTGCTGAGTACAGTGGGGTGAGGAGGTACAAGTCACATTGAAAGGCAGGTTCCTGAGTCTCACAGAGACCACACAGCAGATGGGCCACAGCCACTTCACTAGCTCAGCAGCCTCCATATTCACCCATGGAGAATGGTGACAAGTGTGCTTCCTTCATAAAGTGATGAGATGGAGTTAATGAAACAAAACAGAGTGTCAGTCCATCCTTAGGGCACCCTCCAGCCTCAGCCTCCCATACTCCCCAAAGCTGTACCTCATCACTAGATCTGGGGTCACCTGTTGGGAACCAAAAGCCACAGTCTGACAAGGTCACTGTGGCCTAGCAGCATTCCGACAAGGTCAGAATCTGCAGGTGCACCATGTCTCTATCATCGTGGGAAGGAACGCTAAATAGTTTCCCTTGACTGAAAAGAAGTTTATACTTAGTCAAGGACACTGGCAGTAAGAATGCAGGGTGGCAAAAACAGAAAGGTTGTAACTAGGTAAGAGTGTTTTTGATGTTTAAGTCTCTTCCTCTTTTGTTTATACAAAAGCTTGCTGAGAAAAATTAAAATTTGCCAGTTGTTCACCAGCCTTCTGGTCATGTGTCTTGACTCCCTTCTTGAGTGAGTGAGTTCTTTCATGTGTCTTGTCTGTTCATGCCTTTCCTGAGTCCTTTCGGGTCAAGGACCTCTGCGATCCCAGTAGTCACCTCACTGAAGCTCAGACTATAATGATCCCTGGGAGAACCTGCTTGACTCAGCTTCCCCATCCCAAAGTGGTCACTGGGCTGCCCTTCAGGCCACATTCTGGTAGCCAACTCCCCCTTAACCCCAACTGCCCATTCCTAAACCTGGACATGTCCTCCCTGCACAGCCCACACACATCTCTCGCCTGCTCTGTGCAAGTCTGCTCACCGGTCCAGATGGGATGTCACAGCAAGTCTCCAGTTCAGCATGTCTTGAGTCACAGTAAATCACAGTCCGCTGCAGGTCAAACTGGAAAGCAACAGGAGGACAGAGCATGAATTTTAGAGACTGCAAACCCAGAAATCTCCATGCTGCGATCCCCCGCCTCCCCACACACACGTGATATTGGCTCACCTCCTCCTCAGGTCTCTCCCACCCTGAGCTGCACTATGGGACTTCAGAGGGAAGCTAACCATCATCCATGCATGACGCCACCCTTCTAGAGAGGGAGGATCAACATGTGCTAAAGCCTGTTTCCTTCCACTCTGCAGGGACTGTGGCTTCCGCCTCAGCCATGTGCACAGGCACACTTGCTTGCTTCATGTTACCATCACTGAAGGTGATGCAGACCTTGATCCAATGGCACCAGTCTCTGGAGGTTCAGTGTGTCTCTATTTTCAGCCTGTCTGGGCATCTCCACAGTCATTTAAGTTAACTGAGATTAAAACCTGCTAATCCCTCATTTAATACCATCACCGCTTAAATTAAAAAACTTAAAATATAAAATGCTCAAAACTTAAGTCATAGTATTAAATACACACACACACACACACACACACACACACACACACCCTAGTTCTTCTGCACATGAGACTGTCCACATGGCCGCCCATATATGACAGCTGTTGTCCTCCATTCTGAGTGATAGAGACTGGGGGGAGAGGGGTGGACAGAATTGATGGATAGTTAGTGAATCCAATCCTTTTTCAATCTGATCTCCATTAGAACACATGCACACATTCACACACACATGCAAACTACAAATAAGTTCAGGCCTTTTGCAGGACACCTCATCTCTGAAGGGTCTGGTGCTATCTGGTGGCTGGGGTCTTTCTCCACTCTGCACATGTACCTGAATGACTAACTAATGAGGACTAATCAGGGAGTTAGGAAATCCAGTGGCTGAGAACCATGGCATGGAAATTGATAAAGAATAATATCCTAGATTGCTGACTTTAACAAAATGGCTGACATACATCAAGGTCTTGGAAGAACCTGCATCCTTCAGAGTCTCAAAAAATAATAGCCCCAATCTGACCATCCAAGACCAAACACTCCCCCACCCACCACGTGGGAGGAGTCGATGATGCATAGCCCAGTCTCTAAGAGTTAATGACACAGAACCCAGTTTTCTAGGACCAACCACCCCCATCTCTGCAGACCCCAATAAAAGGGGTCTTGGAACCACCAGTGCAGTGCTCCTTTCTGAATCCCACCTCCTACTGAGGGTGTACCTTTCCTTTGCTTTCATTTTATTTTGCATAAATAAACTTGCCCCAACCAATTGTTGCCACAGCAGCACTCCCTGTGCTCAGATGCCCTCTGCTTCTCTGGACCCTAATGAATGTCTTGCTTCTCCTACTTACTTCTCTTGGTAAATTCTTTTACCAACCCACAACACCAAAATCCTCGACACTCACCTCAGAAGGATCCACGAGGAAACCATGGACTTCCCCATGACCAGGCCTTTCCCCGAAGGAAAGACCCTGGACAAGAAGCAATCTTCTTGTCACCCATCACCCAAACTGTGCTCAGGCACCCCTGTCTATGGCTATTTTTAATGTATATCCCATATTCCTTCAAGAGGTGGAACCTAATTGCCCTCCCCATGTGCGTAAGGTTGACTGCTTCCAGTGAATCAAATACAGCAAAACTGATGGCATGTCCTTCTGAAATCAGGCTATGGAAAGACTGGCTTCTGTGTTGGTATCTCTTTTTTTCTCTCTCTCATCACTTATCAGTCATCTCTCACCCTGAGGGACTCCAGCTATACGAGCTGCCCTGGACACAAGATTCCCTGTGGAGAAACAAGGGTGTTTCTCTACAGTCAACCATCAGGGAATTGAGGCTGCCACCAGCCAGCAGAGAGAGCTTGTAACCTAGATCCTTCAGCCCCATTGGAGCTTTGAGATAACACTATATTGGCCAAGAGCTTGATGGGGGCCTTGTAAGAGACAGTATGAGAACCACTCGGAAAGCCACCCCTGGGTTCCTAGACCACAGACTCTGTGAGACAATAAATGCCCATGGTTCTAATCTGTTGTCGTTGGAAAATTTGTTACACAGTCCACATAACCAAAACATTTCCTGTTACAGAGCAGTTTGCCAGATGCCTTCTCTGCCATGCTGCCACCTGCACACATGGCAGGCTGTAAGGTGACTGCACATCTGTGTGTCTGTCTTCCTTCTGGGCCTTGGATTCTTGGGAACAGTGACTAGATCCCAGCCAATGCTATCGTGAATGCTTAGCTGAGGTTCTCAGCAAACTCAGGCCTCTAACTTGGCTCCAGCTAACCTCTAGTCTGCCCTCTCATCTTCAACCTCCCCTGCCCCACATCCAGGCCCAGACCCTCAAACTCCTCTCCCTGTGCATTGTCACAGAACAGTGCTTCGTTGTGTGGGTTCCTTCCTTCACTCTTCAAAGTCTGTTTCCTCCATTAAAACATGGTTCTACTCTCTTGTTCTTCACAGGGTCCCCAACTCCAGAGCAGCCCAAAACACGGTAGATGTGGCAGAGGCAGAGAATAATGGTGGATTCACCCTTTACCAAAAGAACCCGAGATGAATGAATGGTGGAGGGATGCAACCCGTGTAAGGGTGGAGAGTCCCTCAGAACACTGATGAGGCGGCCACCTGCGTGCCCTCTGTCTCCTGCTTCTATCACATGCTGCTCCTTGAAGTATATCCTCTCACCACTACCCCCACCTGTTCTGTTCAGCAGAAACAATAGTGATCCCATTCATCTATTTATTTCCTATAGAGACAGCATCTCAGAAGTAGGAGAAAATGACAATACGAGTATCTTGATTTCAAGCAAGGCCAGTCTTCAAGAGACAGCCCTGCTTTCTTCATTAGCAAATATCTTCTCACCACAGATGACCCATCTGGCAAGGCCACAGGGACAGGGCTAATGGAGTAGGAGACAGGAAGCCAGGACAAGGCCAAGCACAACAAGCCTGGTTGGATTCCCACCACTGCCCAAGAGCCCACCATTCCCCCAGCCACCCTAATCCTGACTCTGCCTCTGGCCTCTCCCATGCCCATGAGTTTCATTTTGTGACATTCCTCTACCCATTCCCCCCATTCTTGTCTGGAAGCCCTAGTCACAGTTCTGCCCTCAGTAGCTCTGGGTAAACTATTGCCTGGGTGGGATCAGGGTTCCCAGCCTCCCATCCAGTGGCCTTCTGTTGTCTACAGAGTGGAATCCAATTCAGAAAAGCTAGAGCCTGGAGTCTGGGGCCCACCAGGGAAGTCTGAGGCTCAGCTTAGCTTTGCTTTTATGTCAGTTGATGGCAGTACCCTAATCCCCTGAGCCTCAGTCTTCTTTTCTGTGAGATGCACTCACAGGGCTGTGGAGGGGACCAAAGGAAACAGGGCCCATAAGACATAGCATATGTCCACATGAAGCCCAGGCAGGCAGACTGAGGACCCTGCCCACTGTGTTCAAGGCCCCAAACCATGTGGCTACAAGTACCAAGATGATGCCACTGGAAGATTTACCATGGTACAGAATATATCCATTGTCCCTCCGTGTATTTCTCTATACTTGCTTTTAACATGGAAACATGGCATGGAACAGTAAAAGTGGGTGTAACACATCCATCCATGGACAAATGCCTGAGGCTCTAGGATTCCCAGGCATTTGGTGCCAAAAGGATACTTGTCACACTGGCAGAAAAAGAGAGTGAGGGAAACAACCAAGTCCCTACAGTTCACACCACTGGAAAAATGGGCCCCATTACTGACTCAAAGCAATAGCCAAATTCAAGAGTCAGGGCAAGAGAGAAACCTGACATCTCAGACCTAAAGCTAAGCACTGAGCTTAGAACCCACGAGCCACTTGCTAATTTTGCAACTTAGAGCAAGTTCTTTAATCTCTCTGCACCTGAATTTCCTTTCTAAGTGAGGATAAGTGACATCTCAGGACTGAAAAATGCATTGAAAGAAATGAGTGCATGTGAGTTACTTGTGACTTGGTGGGTCACATGCAGCAAGGAGCTCCTGAGGTGCTTGTGTTCATGCAAGCACTCACTACCTGGAGTTCACAAGGGTCTTCACTGGTCACACAAAGTCAACAGAGCTACTGGTGTCAGAAACCTGATGCACTCAGCTCTCTCTGGGTCTTTATGTAAAATCTGAAAGATGACTTTAGGGTTGGTTAGTCTGACAGCAGCAAAGCAGGCAACCCAATAAAGTACATGAGATTGACCCCTATCAGCAGGAAGGCATCCTGGGTTTGCATTGCTCAGAGAAAAGTTAAAGATGCTGATCCCAGATGTGTGGCCAGCTGGAAATGGCTAAGAGCCAGGAATAAGCATCCATGCATGACTCTCTCAGGTTCCTGGGAGGGATTAGGGCTCCTCAGCCCAACCACCTCCATTCCCTGTGTAGAGGGATGCTCAGGCTTGGGGCAAAAGAGCAGAAATTGGAATGAGTCAGTCATGGGGGGTCCTGGGAAGGACAAAGGACAGGGCCTCAGTCACGCAGGGCCCCTCAGTGGGCTCCAGTCTTAGAGCTCAGCTCCTCTACAAAGGAACAGCCCTCCTCTGCCCCTGTGCTCCCTCAAGGGACTGGCACCCCACCCGTCCGCTTGGATGTCCACCAGCTCACTGGCAACTCCCTTCCTCCTGTAGCAGTGAGTCACCAGGAACCACACTGTATCTCAGGCCTGTGCTTTCTTCCTGCCTCTGCACACCGCCCGTGCCGACACCCTGGCCTCTAGTACTTGCTCAGAAGGGCTCTGAGACCTAGGCTGCCTCCTTCTCATGCACCTCCTTCTCTTTCCCATCCCCTCTGCAGCTCAGGCACAAGGCTGGAACTCACCATCCACTTTAACCTCCACCTGTAAGCTGAACCTGTGGCCTGTGCACAGCAAGCCCTGGCTCTGCTTCCTCCATCCCTGGGCTTCAAGTGTCCACCACCTTACGGTGCTGCCTCACACAAAACTGTGCTCTAATTCATGGTGTCTAGATCCTTTGCACAGATAAGCTATCTACCCCTTCAGGGCTCCTCCCAGGAGTTAACTCCAAGAAGCCACCTGTACCCTTCCCTCATACACATATACACCTATCCTGCTGTCTAGATTGGACACTCTGGGACCCAGATACCTGATGCTCATTTCTATTGTGGAGTTTGTTTAACTGGATGATCTTAGTTAACAATTTGCTTAATAGTTTGCTTAACTGGATGACTTGAGTATGAGCCTTCCTTCCATAGGAGACCCAAGTCCTCCCTTCTAAGATAGTCCATGGTATGATTTGATAAAAGTCACTGCAGGTGTAGCGGACATCAGGGACACCTAGCTCCCTAGGGGCCTCCCTAGTAGGCCAGGGCCTTGGCTGCAGGAGACCTCCTAGTACTCACATCGATGGGCACACTGTCATAGAGACGCTTGCCAATCACAGTCTTGCCCTGAATGTCGATGTTCTCCCTCTCCTCAATGGGCAGTGTCTGCAGCAGCACGCAGTCAATATAGAGGGAGACATTCTGAGCCTGGATGCTCAGTGCCATTTTGTGCCAGTCTCGGTCAAAGAGGTCGTTGACTCGGGGTCCTCGGAAGACCACTCTGACGGCATCCTTCATGGCACCCACAGCATTAAACTCAACCGCCTTGTTCTCGCCATCCAGCCTTATGGAGACCTGGGTAGAAGGGAACCAGAGATTTCATGAGCAGGTTACTATGTGCCTGAACTCCATGGGACCAAGTAGAGCAGGAGAAGTGGGGGGGATTTCAAAGTCCACCCTGAGAAAGCTGAGTCAGACCCAGAGTATGACTCTCACCAGCTGTCCACTGCTGTCTAGCCTTAGGCCAGTCTCTGAGCCTTCGTTTCCTCTTCAGCACAATAGCATCTGTAGTCATCATGCAGGCTGCTATAAGTCCAGTTCTAAGTGGAACGACTGAACTTATAACCTGACCAAAGGTCTCACACTTACCTGCCTGGAGGGGCTGTGTTTGTGAGGCTGTAAGACAATTGGTGTAGAGGGCCTGGGGCTGTGAGACCCACCAGAAATCCCAACTAGCTCCTGTGTCTCTGAAAACCCTGGCCTGTCTAAACCAAATGTATCTTCTGGTTAGATGCTAGGTAGCAGCGTGAGACCCTGTCTGTCAGCTGGCATTGTCTCTCATCCCCAGGGCAAAGCTGAAGGTCCACTGGGATGAAGTTCCTTGGTGGCAGGGGCCTTGTCTGTCTGGGTCACTGGAGTACCCTAACCCTTTGCACAATGCCTGTGGCACAGGGCAAGCTCTGGAGGAGAGTCATATTTTTGTTTGATTTTCAGGCATGAATGAATGAGCATGTCCTATTCTATGCACTCATTTCTTCACCTCTCCACAATACTCACTGAACAGCCTATCTGTGGGACAGGCAAGCTGGACAAGGTTCCAGGAATGTGACAGTGAACAGAATCAATACCCTATCAGCACATGAATATGGCGGCCATAAACTATGGGTTCACTGGGTGAATAACTATTCTCTGGCATTAGTCTTCATCTGTCCTGGCATTCATGATGGTGCCCAGCTCCCAGTCTGACCTCTAAGGTTTTCTTTTGCTTGGTTTCTGCACCCTTCTTCTCCTAGTTAAGTTTAGCCTGGGAAGCCCATTGGAGTAGAACAAAGAGCAGGAAGAGAAAGAGGTTTAACACATATTCCTCCCACCCCTCCAGTTTCTCTGTGGTTCCAGAACGGCTTTGATCCTTCATGTACCATGGCTTATTGGGAGACGTTCTCCTTCATGATTCCACAATACATCATCATAGGAAACAACATTCTCCCTGTGTCCCCTGCCATCCAGACCTGGGTGGTTGCTTCCTGCTGTTGCTGACCCAGGGATACTTATATTTTCCTTAATACTTATGCCTGAACCCCATTTGCCCCCTTACCCCGAGTCACTTAATCCAAAGGCACATCAAATCTTTGGGTCCAGTGGGCTCCACTGTCTGACTAACCCAACCAATAAATCACATTTAAGCTGTGTGGATTAATTAAGCTGTTTGGACAAGTTATTTAACATCTATGGTTTCCTCGTTTGTAAAATAGGAATAAGAGTTATACTTACATCATAGAATTGTTCTGAGGATGAAATGAATATATATATATATATTATATACACACACACACACACACATAATTGATAAAGTTCTTCTATGCTAGGTACTGTTCTAAATCTGAGTTAAGCAAATAAGTTCAACACCATCATTTTAGAGAAAGTTCCCTGTTAAAACACATATAATTAGATTCTAACCTGTCATTTGTTCTCACATCCCCAAGCATGTTGACTGACTTACTTTTTTTATGCACTGCATCAGTATATGAAATTTTTTGTTTGGTTCTTCTGTCTACCAGTTTACTGTCTCCCTTCTCCATCCTTTAAATCAAACACTTTGTCTTCTCTCTTTTTCTACCCCCAGTGGATAGAAAAATACATGGTTCATGATGGCACTCAACAAGAAGGTACTGAATAAATGAATGAAGGTGACCATTTGTGCAAGGGATGAGTTGGGTTTATAACACAGCCCAAGTCTTCTGAGTTATCTTTCTGAGCTCCTCCAGGCTTCAACACAACCAAAGGGGACCAATTTGTTTTGTCTCACCTGCTTGTAAGTTGTGGATTGGGTAAAAACTAGAAACCTATGAAATGCTCTCCAGCAGTTCAATACTTCTAATACACATAGTCTACCACTTCCATGATTGAACGTGGTCTTTTGTTTCTTTAGGACAGTCTCACACACAAGTTTAAGCCTGTGCCCCTGACCACTTTCAGCTTCTGATGGACTTGACTTTCTTTTCAATAACAATTCCATCTCTAGCAGGGGAGGTACACCTGGCAGGGCTACTCAAGTCTTAAGTCCATCAACATAGCTGGGTGACAGTGGAGAGGGCACTTTGTGTCATTATCAAATCATATTGGTTCTATTTGAAAATTCCATCCAGGGTCTGATGATTTCTCCCAACTTTACATTGCTACCTGGTGTGAGTCAGCATCACCTCTCACCTGGATTACTCTGCTACTTCATTCTCCATACCCGTCCTTATGCTCCCAGGACTGCACACCTCCCCACAGTTTATTCTTCAAAAAAAATAGCCTATGTGGCCTTCTTCCACCTCTGGAACCTTGACTCTAGCTTGTCCTTCACACACACTCTGCTCTGCTCTAACTATACCACCTTCCTTCCTGTCCCTTTATCATATGAGTGAATGCCCCTCAGTTTCCTCAAACGACAAGTAGGGAAAGGGACAGCTTTCAAGGGTGGTTATAAATACTACATGACATTGGAGAGACACACATCTGTGCATGAATATCAATAATGGCTATAGAGGCATATAATTAATACCCTCCTGCAGGCAGCCCATCTTCTTGTAGGCCTGGATCCACTTTTCTTGTGTCTAGGCAGTATTTTTCTGAGCACAGAAGTGACCATCATTGGCATCTCTGGCAAAGGGCACTCAACCAAGGCATGCCTACAGAAAGTGAACTTCCCAGTGACTCTTCCAACATGAGACTCAAGTCTTTCAAAGCTAACTCAACCTCTGCATGGCTTTGCAGTAGGTATTTCCATCCATGGCTCATTCCAGAAGGAAAGGAAGATGCACACATGGCAGGAGGAACATGCACAGCTCTGCAAATGCCATGAAAGAAGAGAACCCAGACTGAGGGGGTGGTGCAGGCTCACCCCACAAGAATGTCATGGCAGACACCCAGACCCACTCTGCCAGACATGAGAAATTGGAGAAGCAAACCTATGTCTTGCTGGAGATGGAAGTAGATGGCAACACAATAAGCTTCCTTCTCTCCATAAAAATGGCCTCTGCAGAAGAATCTCAACCCCCTCCTTCAGCCTCCCACACTGAGGAAATCAGACCTCTCAGCAGTTAATACTGAATATGCATATGCAGCTGTGTGACTGGGGATGACAGGAAGGTCATTCACCAGGGCCAGCTAAGCATGTTAATAGCATAGGCTGGGAAGCTCAACTCCTGAGTTCAAATCTCAATTCCCACTCTTATTACCCATGAAGGCTCAGGCAAATTCCTGAGTTTCTCTGTCACTCAGTTTCCTCCTCTGTCTGAAGAGAACAGTGCAACCTACTCATAAGGCTGTGCTGAGAACACAATGGATTAAGATGTGCAAGGCACTCAGAATAATTCCCCAGTCATATTAAGAGAAGGTGTATATTGGTGAACAATGCATGGAGTACCAGGGTCAGCTCTGATCAAAGGAGAGAGAGCCTGCTGGTTTGGAGGAGCTGGTTCTCTCAGGCCCCAGTCTATAGCTGTGATTGCTGAAATTCTATTATTTGAACATGTTTTGGTTTTATTTCAGCTCACATGAAAGTTTAGACAGTCTCTCCTAGCTGACTGTGACAAATGTCTGTACATGGTTCGATTTCAATGAAAGGACAAATATATGGTTGGTTTGTGAACCCTAAGAAGAGGATTTGAATTTGGCATTGAATAGAAAAGAAGTCTTGCTTTCCTCTCAAACAACAGACCACACTGATAGCTTTGATTTGAAGATTTGTCTTGCCTTAAGGGAAAGTATGCTATTGAAGGCTGCTCCACCTTGTGGTAGAACTGAACGTGAATTAGGTGGGGAAAGATGGGACTCAGAGCCTCATGCATGAGAAAACAGAAGACCTACTCCATTCATAAGAAGACATCTACTCCTGAAAAAACCTATATTATGTATTGAATGCTAGTCTGGATGCTTTGCATATATTACCTGATTTTTCTACCAACCATTCATGGTAAGTAGTCTCTATTTTCCATTTTTCTATCTAAGAAAACCAAGATTCACAAAGAGCCTTTTTCCAGGGCCCACACCAAGAAAGGAGTAGATACAAGATTTGGCTCTGGTCTAACCCTGCACCAGGTTCTTCTACTAAATCATGAGGCTGTGTCACTCACAGCAAGGGTCATAGGACAGCAGAGCTGGGAACTTGGTTAAGCACAGGATAGGAAGTAGGTCTCCTTCTTCTCCCAGCCTCCAGATTTGGCCTTGGCTTTTCACTGGGAGAAGAAGTGGGCCCTGTTGGATCATGTGACTTTCCCCTGTGGATTCTCTGAGGCGCCATACACCAGGCCCTCCTCCTCTCTGAGCCCAGGACTAAGGCCTCAGGAGAAAACACAGTGGCTAACACCATCCCCTGGGAAAAGGAACAGCATGCTCTTCACCCTTGAGACAAGGCAGTATGGCTATACCTGTGGAATGCCATACTGGTCGATGACTTGCCAGATGTACCAGTCCTCTTTCCTAGATGTTTTCCTGAACCGGAAGGTTGTGACAAAGGCATATTCATCAGGCAGACCTTGGGGGAACACATCCCTGAGGAAATCAGAGAACAAACAACACCAAACTTAGTGACAAGAGAAAGATCCCAGCAAAAGAAGCTCCAGCAAGCCCTCAATCACTAAGTCCTGCCAGTTTGACCTCTTGGGTGGGTTGAATCTTGATGAGTATTCCTAAAGTCAATGCCACAGTGAGACCCTCTAGGACCAAGGCTGGGCCCCTTCACTGTCTCCCTACTCCCACCCTTGGATCCTTCAAGTTCACGCTGCAGCACACATCTGCTTGCCTCTTGCCATCACAAATGACTGACAGCCAACAATAAAGTGGCCCTTCCCCCAGGATCAAATGCAGGGAAGACTCCCAACCTTCACCTCTCCTTGCCCTGTTCTTTCTCAGCAAGGACAAACTACTGTGTCTTAGCCTGCTTTGTTCCCTGTACAGTCACCGGGATGCTATGATTCAATGCATATCCTTCCCAAAACTCATGTGTTAAATCCTAACCCCTAAGGTCATGGTATTAGGAGGCTTTTAGAGGGTGATTAGGTCATAAGGGTGGATCCCTATATGGGACTGGTGCCCTTATAAATGAGGCCCCATAGAGTTCATTCACTCCTTCCAACACATGAGCTTATAGTAAGAAGGTAACTATCTATCTACAAGGATCTAATCTCAGACATTCCAGCCTTCAGATCTGAGATAAATCAATTTTAGTTATTTATGAGCAACTCAGGATATGGTAGGATATTGTCACAGTAGCTGTAATGGACCAAGACACAGGACACCCTCTCTCTCCACGGAGTCCTGGGCTCAGCTGAGCCAATGGGGCCATGCCTGCAGTTAGGGGCATCCTCGCTCCACTCCAACCAGTTCCAGAACTTCCCATTCTCTCCCAAATTCAGTAACAAAAAGTATCAGTCCCTCCTATGGAGGACCAAGTCTCCATCCCTCTGTGCCTCCCCAGACCATCCTCAGACCAGCTGTCCTTCCCTATACCCTCCCCATCCATGTCATGTGCAGAATGCAGAAGCTTATGAACTCCCTTCTTCCCCTCAAATCAAAGCCTCCCTGGGTTTCCAGCCAGTATCTTAGCAGGCTCTCTCTTCCTCTTTCTCCTTCTCCCTCTCTTGGCCAGGAGGGCTCTGGAAAAAGTTATCTACATACTCTCTCATTTCCTCTCCCTATTTGCTCAACTCATGGTTACCTGCCCTCTACCCCTTCACTCCCACCACATATACACCTTTTCCTAATGAGGTCCCCAATAAAGAAGCCTAAGCAATTCTTGTCCCTCAGCACCTACTGTGGAGCCCACAGGCTTCCCACAATGCTGAAAGAAGAAGAACTTTGAAAACTATCAAAATGCTGTTTCCATAGAGAAACTTTTCTTTCCCCACCCCCAATGCAGGGTCCACTTCTTTTTCTCATAGGAAGCACCCTAGACCACGCTGATATGGGAGCTTTCCAATGAACACTTATATCCCTGTCCCCACAATCTAAATAACAATAGCATTCACTCTACCCTAGTTGTGACAACCAAAATGATTCTAGGTGACACCAAATTTTACACAGACAAATTTTCCTCTGGTTGAGATCACTGTCTAACCTAGACTTATATTGTATTAAAATAAAATTTAGCTTACCTTTCTTTTCTTTGATTCAATAGACTACACATGACCTCATTTGATATAAGATCCTAAGATTCAATTAAAACTTGAAGAGCTTCATACAAGCTGGACACTAAGTTTTCATGTATATCTGATTTCCTCATCAAAAGAACTTGTGAAGTAGGCATTTTCATCCCCACATTATAAGTGGGTGCCTCGGCTCTGCAAAGTCTGGTCTCCATAGCTCTTCTCTTAAGCATCAGCTAACTGCACCCCCATCCCGCAGCATGCGGCCATGATGAAGCCACAGCCTGTTCTGGGGGTGGAGGACTGTCTCTGGAAATGGTCACGGCATTGACTGAGGAGGTAGAATCTGTCTGGCCAGACAGCCAGGAAGGAAAGTGGGGAGGCGTCTGGATTCCTGGTTCTTAGATTTGCAGATCCTCAGGGACCCTTAATTTGGCTACTGAACCTATGGGGAAAGATCAGTCTTCTCTGATTGCCAGCTCACAGATCTGAGCTGGGGGACTAGCCTAGATGTTCAATGTCATTCTTGGGGATGAGATTTCACTCAGGATCACATCCAGGTAGAAGGAAGACACCATCACCCATGGCATGTGGGCTTCTCTCAGGATTCAGGGATACCTGTATTTGCCCCTGTGGAAGATGACAAGACATCCTAGCATAGGTCCACAGATACAGGCTTGGTAGTCACAGAAAGACATTGCCCTTTTTTCTTTTTTTCCATATTGCCCTAGTGAGCCTAACTATACTATTATTTTATTCCTGTATGCACTTTCTTCTTATACTTTTGAAGTACATCCAAAGACACAGGTGTGTGCATCTTCTAACAAAAGACAGATAAGATAGATAATAGATAGATAGATAAATAGATAGAAAGACAGACAGACAGACAGACATAGAATTAAAATATCATTATAATCTCAGGGTGGTAAGGCCATTAACAGAGAACATCGAAGGAAAGAAAACGTTCTAACCTCTTCACAAGTAACATAGCAAATGATGTGACCACAGTGCAAAGCACAAGGGCTTGGGGTTAGAAGACCTGAGCATGAAGTCAACTTTGCTTCCTAGAAACTGTGAGATTTTGAACAAGTTACTGCCCCATTTAGAGTCTCAAGTGTACCAAGAAATGAGAATAATGCCTGCCTTCCTCACCTCATGGTACTGAGAAATAAACTAAATGTGTAAAATACCCTCCACATGTTAAACAAGTTAGAAGGCATAAATACTGAAGGTGACATCCCTCTTCCTCATGAATCAAATTAAATTATGTATATATATGCATCATGTACAAATTTCAAACTATTAGAAGTTAAAGGGAAACTATCCTTTCCTGAAATGTCAGAGCTTTTTTGGTTTGATTTCCTCTCTGGAGTTGTGCCATGAAAACAAATGTGAAACTATACAAAAATCCCTTTCTTTTCAGGACACCATGAACATCTCAAGAACCTAATCCATCACCCAGAACCTGGGTCCGATCTCTGGTCTATAGAGTAGAGCTTGATGTTGATGTTTGATCCAAGTGTCGGATGGTAATGAAGCATCATTAGCAAATGGCAGGGGTCCCCTGTTAGGCCCTTCCACCACCAGATTTGTGAGTTTTATTTCTCTCCTTTGTTTTGTTCTTTCTCTATTACATTTTCCTTTCAGGCGAGGTTGCTTATGATTTTTTCTGTTTCTGAGTAGTATGGCTGGTGAATTCAGTAAGAAGGACTGAAATGAGAGTAGAGCCTGGAGTTTGTCCATCCTTGTGTACCCCCAAACCAGCCTAGGACCAGGGGTGTACTAACAGAGAGAACAGTGCTCAGTGTCTGGGCTGACAGTGGGCACCATCTCTATTTCACAGGTAAGAAAATGAGGCTCAGAGGGAGGAAGCAACTTGACTCACTTCCTTTTACTTCCATTTGATGTAGGCACTGTAAGCCACAGATGCGATGATGCCAGAGTCTGGTGCAGGGGTAGCACTCAGAGGATGTTCACCAAACTAAATGATTGCACATAATCAAGAATTCAAACTCTGTGCTTAGCATTCAGAGCCCACCTTGCCAGCTAGAATCTGACAGAGCACTTTCCTCATTGTGGCCTGACTGATTCATTCAGTCAATAAAGATCCAGCAACCTCTGGTCTGGGCAGGGCTTAGTTTGGTGCTGGGACTGTGGCAAATACCATGACTTAGCTCTGTCCAAGAGCTTCTGATGGAACAGGCAGACTGTCTGTAAAGACTAACTGCACAGGTGATTGGATGGATGCAAGATTGCCATGTTCTGCATAGGAATCCAGGTGTGAAAAAAGTGGATAAAGAGAGAAACAGAGCAACTCAGAGGCAGTATCCCCCAAAGCATAATGGTTGAGCCTTTCTTAAGGGGGGAACAGAGAAAGTGTCCCAAGTAAAGGGAAGAACACCAATAAAGGCCTAACAGTGAAAGACATATGCCCATCAGCCTGGGGACAAGTCAAGACACCACAAAGGTAGGGTGGTCATGTTACACATGGGACCGTTCACTTTCTGGTCTTTGGTTTAATAACACCTGGAAGCAATGAAAGAATTTTAAGATGGAGGAAAAGTAGCATGATGCAATATCATTTTGTCTTCAATGATCTGTTTGTAGTGAGAAAAATGGAACATCCATTTTGTTATCATTTTTAGATTTTAACTGGATGCCCAGTAGAAAAATTTTCACAGCATATTGTCTCAACAAAGATGCAAAGTAGGAACATCCATCTCTTGGGTAGAAAAGAAGAGAAAATTGAGGCACAGTTGCATTTGATAATATCAGGTCAGGCATGCAATAAACAATGAAACTGGGTTTCCATTGGTCCAAACCAGAGGGGTCTATCTGTCATGAAATGTACTGGCTTGTCCACAGTAGGTGTTGTATATCTATAAACATGAATGTTTGTTATTTAATGAACTGATAGAAGAATGTGTGGATGAGTGAATGATTAATGACAAATGCATATGGAGAGGTGACTGTAAAGAGACCAGAGAACCATGAGTTGGAATAGTAACAAACCAAGTTGAATTTCCAGTGTGACCTTACCAGGCACCTCTGAGTAGGCTACAGCCCAGATCAGTTGCTGAGTATGCATCTGTGGCTGATTGGTCCCTTCCCTGCCCTTTAACAAGGCATCCAAGGGTCTGGAAAGAGAAATGGTCACTCACTCGGTCCTCTGCACCACAGGGAAGGATCCCATCCGGACATAGGAACTCTGTGCTCCATTCTCTCTCTTTCCCAAGATTTCCTTCACACTGAACAGATCCATCAGGTCAAAACCTGTGCAAAAAGAAGAGTTGGGAATGAGTTTGGCAGAGGAAGAGAATGGGAGGCAAAAGATATGCTTGTCCACCTTCTTCAAAAACAACCAGCCAAACCACCCTGCCCCCAGGAAACGGATGTGCAAGTGAACTACTCAAATACATGTTCATAGAGAAAACAAACCACAGAGCCATGAGACATACAGCCTTAAGTCAAATTCCAGGGAAAAGGTGCAGAGGAATGCAGACACCAGCTGTCCCACTGAAAGATGAGCGCTGAGAGCATCCTGGATCACAGACAAGCATGAGACAAATGGAAGGTGTCCCGGTGTCTCCAGCCATGGGGGCCTTGGTGTTCTTAAAGTCTAAATGCATGTGCTGACTCCACAAGCCACCCTGCAATTTAGGGCTTTCCTTCCTCCATCACAGTCTCACCACTCATTTGTATTTTGCTTGGATTAGAGTTTGGCAGCCTTTAAGTCTCATGATTTAAAAGAGAGAACCAGGATAGAAGAAAACATGTTATTGCATTACTGAAAGGTATTTTGTTGTGTGGTTTGGTTTGGTTTCCCCTAAGAAAGAAGGTCATCATCAATGTAAAGTAATGAGTGGTCATGGTCATGGGCTTTGACCTTGCCTGAGGGGTAGGAGTGGGGATGGGGGTTTGATCCTGCTCAGTCACTATAGCCAGAGGAAGTACACTCAGTAGGGCTGTCCTGACAACAACCTTGGACCCTGGATATGCACCCCTCAGGAGATTCACAGTAGGTCTTTTACTAGTAATTATTCACCACTACTAGCAAAGCCTCCATCACATTTCCCCACAAGGAAAGGCTTTTACAAAGTTGTCTGGAGGGTTGATGGGTTCTGCAGACTAGGCCACAGAGGAGCCTAAGAAGAACACCTATTCTGGATGCTGGTGGCCTGCCACATTGACTTTTGAGCCTGTCCATGCCTCACTGTGAGCTTTAAATGAAAAAATATGCAGGACCAGACCTGGAACATTATAAGTGCTCAAAAAGCACCAGAAAATTCCAATGATCCCTGGCCCTGAATGGACAGCATGGCCATCTCCCATAACAACCTCTGCTAAACATTAGCAGGTGGAAAGAGTTGGTGGGTCTGGCTGGCACTGACCCACTGTGACTGTGGCTCAGTCACAGTCTCCCTGGACATCTGTTTCCCCCAGCAGGGGGGAACAGGTAGAAAAGGATTATTTGTTGTGTTTTTAGCACCAGTAAGTATTTATCCCATTTCTCACAATACTCACCATGAGTAGAAAGAGTCTGTCTTCTAGACAAACTGAGTTTCTTGCATAACAGTGAATTTGAAAGTTCAAATTTCATGCAATCAAGGATCCCTCAGTTCTGCAGTGTGCTGGACATACAAGCTAATAATGCAGCAGCTGGCCAGAAAGAAGACAGTGTTCACATTCACGCCAGGGAAGGGTGAGGTGTGCTGTCTGTGCCCACAATGTTTAATGGGACCAAGGCACGCTATGCGCCCACACAGAATCTGAGCTATACAACTTTAAGGAAGCTGTGGATTTGGTTAAGCTGGTTTCCTTAACTGGCAAAATGGAGGGAGTAAGTTCTTGCAGGGCTGAGATGAGATTTAAGTGTGATGCCTTTATAAAGTGCCTGTAGGGAAGCCAGCACCAGTAATTGCTAGATGCACTAGCTCTTCCTGGGGACCATGGTGGGAACCTTTGTATTTCTGTGCTCTGTAGAGTCCCCTGATACAACGAGCCTCATGCTCCTGGGTCAGCTGCCAGGCCACCTCCCCCAGCTCCTCATTACTATCTCTCTGGCTATACAGGACCAGATTCCAAGTAACAAACATGGCAAGAACCAGCTGCCTCCTCAGGCCTGGAGGAGTCCTGAGCACAGGGAGAGGCCGTCAGTGGCACAGACTGAAGGAGACACTCACCGAATGAAACCGAGGTCAGCCCCAACTTCTCTGCACTTAGACTGGCACAGACTCCACCCACTTGGAAGGGAGACTTGCCAACTCAGGAGCTGTGAGCCAACCTTCACCTGTGAGCAGAGGCACAGGTACCCTGAATCTCTTGGTTCCTGTACCAGCAAACAGCAGCTTACAGAGATGAATGGGTCCCATGCAATCAGGGCCCTTCTGACAACCCTCAAAGCAGCCATTTGCACTGAGTTCCTATACCTGTCCACATGGTTCTCTGGGAAAGGGAAGGGCTGCTGGATGGGAATGGGGTAGACTGACCAAGAAGCCCCTGGGGGACTTGCAGTTCTAGGGTCCATGGAACTGATATCAAGAGGGATAAACCTCAGCGCCTGTGTAGGATCTGGTTTTGTTCAGAGAAAAGCAGAACAGGCAGGAGCAGGTTTGACGCCTGGCCCTACCCTGGATCAGTGGCTTGGCAGGTGTACTGGTGTCTTCATCCTCAGTGATTCAGGGGTGAGAACGTTCCCTAGATGGGCTGCTGCCTCAAGGGAGGGGACTTCAGCTCAAGGAAAGCCACCAGTTGACATTAGGAAGCAAAACTAGGATGACCCGGAGGGAAAGAATTCATCACCTCAGACACACCTCGGCCCAGTCCCTGATCTCCACTCAGCATCTCCATGACTTTCTGCAATTATTCAGCCCTGCTAGCCCCAACTGTTCCTCTATACAAGGGGGCTCATGGCAGCCACCTCATAGGCCTGAGACTCCCACAGGATGTGGGAGAGGCTCACAAGTGACCTGAAGTGGCCCCATGGCTCACAGGAAGAGCTGTGAGATCTGCAGAACACATCCAGAATTAGGATGACCTCATGCCCACAGCCACCTGTGAGAAGTCAGGGGCCAGAACTGCTAAGGGACCTGCTCCTCTGTTTCACAGCATGGTCAGTTCTCACTAGACAGGACCACCTTCATCTGCATTTCCCCTCAGCAGTTATATGCAGGAGAATTAGGGAATAACAAGCGGCAGAAAACCAGGTTCAATCTTATTTGGTTTCAATGAATAAAGCCAAAGACTTGAACACAACAAAACTTCAAACAACAAGCAATTAACTAGGTGGCAGCAAAGGGCACTGAAGAAAAGGTGAATTACCTAAAATAAATAAAGGCTGGGAAGGGAAACGAAAAACGCTCCTGAGGAAAAACAGGTTGTGATGCAAGGTGCTGTGAGATAAAGAAGCAACTGCTCAATGCAAAGATCCCAAGGCTGGGGCCCTCACCTCAGCCTCCAAATCAGCTGACCTAGTGCAGACCTGGGTGCTGGCCCCTGATGCACTAAGCACATCTGCCAGTCACTGACAGTATGCTCCCTCCTCACCTTGCAGGGGTCTGCCCTGCACAGAGCTTGGGGACTACACCCAGGTAGCTTGAGTCTTTTAATGTGAAGTGTGAGCAGCACATCTGAGGAATAGGGATCCATCATTAGTTGGTGGCTCTGGAAGGAAAGGTGCCAGATTCCACCAGTGCCCACCCTTAGAAGTCTGGTGTTGCTGTCCTTTTACTCACTGCCTTCTTTTCCTATGCATCATACCCAGGAGTGTGATTACTGAGTTATATGGTAATTTAAGCTTAAAGATTTTTGTTTGTTTGTTTTATGAATTTTCCTTTGGCTATACTGGTGTTTGAACGAAGGGCCTTGCACTTGCTAGGCAGGTGCTCTATCACTTGAGCTATACTTTTCTAACCCTGTTTTGTTTGAGTTATTGTTCAAGTAAGGGCTTGCATTTTAGCCTGTCATGGTCTAGACCACAGTCCTCCTACCTGTGCCTCCCTCCTGGGACCACAGGAATGCAAAGCCATGACCAGTCCCTGTGTTAGATTTTTGAGGAATCTCATTACTGTTTTCCCTAATGGGCTGAACTAACTTATGTTCCTACCAATCATGTATTTGACTTCCCCTTTTTCCATGTCTTTGTCTGGATTTGTTATTTTCTTGTATTATAAGGTTTTTTTTACTAGAATTAACAATAATTACAGATTTCAAAATACCTAGAAGAATTTTGAAAGTTCCCAACACAAAGAAATGGTAAGTCTGTGTTTGATAGGATTTCTCTCCATCTATCACCGTTTTCAATTTGAAGCCACTTTCATTTTGGCTCATAATGGTCTATTATACTCTATGCCAAAGCAGCACATAGCCACCATTCTAAAACCACCTTAGTTAAAAACTGAACAATAGAAATACAAGCAATATTATGAAAAACAGATTATGCTAACGGGAGAAGAACAGTTAAAGAAGGAAGTCAAGAAGGTGAACATGGCTCATGTACTTCCTATACAAGAGTGAACATAGAATTTTTAAACCTGTTGAAATCACCATAAGAAAGAGACTAAGGTAGAAAGGACAAACATAGAGTGGATGAACCAATTCAAATTATAATACATATATACTTGGAAATGTCACAATGAAACTCCCTGTATAGCTATCTTATACAACAAAAATGTCTTTTTTAAAAACGGAGAACAGGAAAGAAAAAGAGGTCCTATCTGGGGGTTGTCACCAGTAGGTGGGGGGATTATGTAGGGAAAGGATATGGGAGGGTGAAAATAGTAAAAATATCATGTACTCATGTATGAAAATGGAAAAATGAGACATGTTGAAACTGTTCCAGGAATGGGGTTGCGGGAATAAAGGAGAATGATGAAGGAGGTGAATTCAACTATGATACATTATAACAACTTTTGTAAATGTTACAACTTACCCCCAGTCCAACAATGATAATAAATAACTAAAATTTACCCTCCAAAAAAAGGGTGCAGAACAGGAATGCAGAGACTGGATTTCACTGGCTAGGAATGATGTGGGCAGGCCAGGGCTGGTGGGCTCTATTAGCCACAGTGGGGAGTTTGATTTCCTTTCTGCAAGCATTGGGGAGGTCTAGTTGGCTTTAAAGCAGAACAGAAACACAATCCAGTCTCCGCTTTACAAGGTCACCCTGGTGGTGGAGGGAGAAGCAGGGGGACCGATAAGGAGCAGGCTTGGTGAGCTGAGACAGGAGGAGTGGAAGATATGCTTGCACTCTAGAACTTTGTTGGAAGTACAATGAGTCTGACTTGATTATCTGGGTGGAAAGAAAAAAGAATTCCAGACTGTCTATGGCCAAATTTGAGACTAGCACTGTGACTAGCATACTTTTAAGTACCAACGGGCTAACTCCCAAGAAAGTTGTATAACATTTTTAGTGGCAAAGAATTGGCAAAGTAGCTATTAGAACTGAGGGGGAACTTCAGAGACATTTTTTACATCCCCTGTTATACAGACAGGGAAACTGATGCTCAGAAACATCAGGAGCTTGACCCATGGCCACCTGACTGGCAAGCAGCAGGGCCATCTAAGACCTATATCTCAATCTCCTTTGTCTACTCTTGTCATCATCCTCACTGCCCAGCCAGATGAGCCCTAAAAATAGCCAGAATCATTTAAGGAAATGCCTGGAGGTGAAGCTTTTGGGAGCTGCACTTTTTCCAGAATACAGAAGTTGACTCTAATTTGGCAAGTCTGCGGTTCCCTATCTCCATAACCCCCTCTTCAGCCTCCATATGACTTGGATGATTTTTCAGGGCTGGTACTTATTAAAGGAGACAAGAGATAAAGAGGTTATCTGCATGCGCAGAGCTTCACATACAGGGCGCCTGGCTCCTCTGCTGGTGGAGATCCACTTGGCACTGCAGTTCATTACCTGGAACCCTCCACCAAGGGCAGGGAAGGGGGCCGAGAATCCATTGGCTGTGAATGGACCACAGATTCATAACAGAGGGTCCCGTTTCTATCCAAGCACCTGTTTCACAGGATTCTCCTCTAATGCCATAGATTAAAACATTTCTTCAAAGTTCTGCATATTCATATGGGTATAAATATGCATATACATATAGCCATGCATGTAGGACACAAACCATGTACACACGTGCACATAGAAGAATACTTTCTGATTCTCCCAGCAAGAATCAGTTTTCCTTAAGTAGAAAAAATAATACTTGCTGCACTTCAGTTTATAGAATGACAAGAAACTATAGCTCATTCTGACTTACAGATGAGGCAGATTCACCTATTCATTTGTTTTCCTCTTTTTCTCTTCCTTCCCTCTCTTCTCCTTCCTTTCTCTCTTCCATCCATCTTTTTATCTTTCCTAACCATTTATTCAACCTGCCATCTACCCATTCATGTTTTCATGCTTGACTTCTGGCCCCTTCCTTTCATTAACTTCATTCACATATCCATTCATTCATTCAACAGGATTAAATGAATAAATGCATGTAGTGCTCTATACTCTTAGAATACAAAGAAGAATGCCCAGGTAAAAACAGATCTGCTTTCAAACAGCTCATATGCTTGTTGGGGAAGCAAAGAATCATGACACCTTCTTTTTTTTTTTTTTCTTTTATTATTCATATGTCATGACACCTTCTGACTGGAGTTTTCAAGACAGAATAAAATGCCAAACAAGCAACTAATGGCCCATTGGGGCCTAAACTGATTTCATATAAGTGACTGTTGAATTGGGTTTGAGAGTCGAGCAGGAGCTCACTGTGGGCGCAAGGTGGCTATAGGCACACCCAGCAGAGGAAATGCCATCAAGCTAAGGGGAACAGTACATCTTTAGGGGCCAGTAGGCATCCTAATAGGCTCAAGAATAAGCAAGGACAGAAGAGACAAAACTTTTCTGAGAGGCTAAGGAGCACAGACTTCAAGAATCTGAGTTTTAGAAAGCTCTTGATGAAGGTGAAGGAACAGGACAGTTCTAGAAGGCGGCATGCTGGTTACAGAGACACTGTAACATTCCAGATGAGGGGCAGTGGTAGATTGGAATTCCATGGCAGCAGCAAACAGGGAGCAGCTTCTTATTTTTACTAATTCTGCCACTCACTGAGGTGTGACAACAGCCATGGTGCCCTGCCCCTCTCTCTAGATGCTTGTCTGGATCTGTCCAGTCATTTCTCCATAGTCACACAGCTTGGTTTTCACATCTTAAGGTGGGAAAGTAGACTAGATTTTGATAATCAGGGTCAGTTTGCTCAATTTTTAATGGGACTTTGATTTCTTCACTTTGTTGAGTCAATTGCCTTAAGTAAATATTACACGGTTTTAACATAAGGATTGATCACACCATATGACAAAATGGTGTCAAATGTCACTTTAGATGTGAATCCTGATTCCAGTCACAAATTTCAGCAAGTTGCTTAATCTGTCCGAACCTCAGTTTTCCCACCTGCAAATGGATGACGTAAGGGTTGAACGAGGAACCACAAGGACGCACGGTGAGTGCTCAGTATCGCTTGTTACTGTGATTGTTGCTACCAATGTCAGCCTTAGCCTAACCGTCCCTTCCACAGCTGGATGTGCTGAACCATGCATTAGAACGACCTGGGGCATTGCTGTTCTCACAGTCTGGTGGCTCACAAAGCCAAAGGTACATTGCACAACAAGGAAAGAGTTTGTTTTAGAGAGGGGCTTCAGTGGGAGACGCCTTGGGGCAGAGATAGACAGGCACATCTGTGCTGCAGGGAATGGATAACAGATTAACCAAGAGCTTCACCGGGCTCGCCAAGGCAAAGTCAGAAACATCTAAGATGAATGCCTAGTGATTTTGCACCCTGAGCTGAGTGGCTCAGCTATAAATTCACTTGCTTCAAGGTACCTGAGATAACAAAGAGATGAAAGTCACCGTTAGCTCATGAATTTGACAAGGAAGCTGTGACAGCAGCACCTCCCTGAGTACCAACTGCCAGGCATGTCCCCAGCCAGGAGAAGAGATGAGAACTGTCTGTTGGAGGAGCTTGATAGGGGAATAGGGGTGGAGGCAGGGGAGGAAAGTGGCTGGTAGAGTATGGAGTGAAGCCAGTACCCAGCAAGTGACTACCCCTGCCTCCTGTAGGGAAACCCCAGGACACAGGGTCCAATGTAGACCTGAGCACAAACCCACCCAGGGAGCTGGGAAGGTTCTACATACAACAACACTGCCTGAGAGCTGCTCTGAGGAAAGCCAGCTCCCTGGCACATTCTGCTTACACCCAGGCATAGCTTCTACTCTCTAGAAAAATCCTCCAGGTCCCCCCAGTGCAGATGCTGCACCTTGAACACTGACATGCTAGAATTCTGGGATATAGGCAGGGTACCAGGAGCACCCACCTAGCACCTAGTCTGATCTCATGTGGCTGGCTTCACAGAATGGAAGACGATTAGAATTGGACCCAGTGGGATGGAGGTGGGAGAAGAAGCTGCTGAACCAGTGGACATCAGTGGAAAGAGCAGGTTTGGGGTCCTGGAGTGGGGGGAGAAGAAACTGCCTCAAGTCCATGCCGTTTGAGGTGCTCAGCAGGACATCTGGGCACAGGGAGGACTAATCAATGTTCGACACTCTCAGGCCAATGAGAACTCAGCACCCCCCACTCACACACCCATACACAGGCTGCCACTGCATTTCTGCTCTGTCATCTGCAGTCTTTGACAACCCTCTGCAGCGTTTCTCCCTACTGCAGGGTAGGCAGTCACATACCTCTCTGCCCTCCTGCCAGTTGATTTCCTCATACATTTATAACACTGATTCATTCACCTCTCTCTCATAAGTGCCTTTATTTATCCATTCCTTTGCTTGCTTTGCTTATTTGCTAACTCTTGCACAAATGCACTCATCTTAACATATTATTTACTGACTCCTATAGGATGTCCCCAGCCTGCCAAGTGGAAAATGGTGAATGCTTTTTACTGTTGGATGGGTGGCTGCCACTTGTACACTCCAAACTACTCTACCAGGACTTTGGTACACACAAGAATGAGAATAGAGTCAATGAGGCCACCCCTATGTTTTCTGACTAGGGTCATACTGAGGTCCAGCAAGTAGTACACAAAACCAAGCTTGTGTGGTGGTGGCTTCTTGCTTACCTGTGATTTCCTTGGTTTCTCCATTAGTGTGCTTAAAGCGATCTCCTTCTACCCGGACACTGGGGCAGAGCACATCTGAGAAAAGCAAGAGGAAACAGAAGCAGATTAGAAAACATGCCTACAATTACCCCAAAAAGTGTGAAAACAAACGGCCACAGAGCTCACTGGCAGCTCCACACTCATCGATTTTTTCATTTATTTGTGTCTTTGTTAAATACCAACTCTGCAAATGCCATGCTCTGTAACTGGGACAAAATATAGACAAGGAATTGCCCCATCTCCAGTGAACTCACAGCTCTGCCATTAGAGGACGCCAGACAAGAAAATCAATATCCTGGGTGATAGACACAGGATGGCTGGTTGGGGTTTAGGGCACAGGTATCCCACCTAACCTGCTTGACCACAGGGAGGCTTTCCTAGATATTTCTTCTTAAAGAAACAATAAAACTGAGTCAGTCTGACAAGAAAACAAAAGCCCATACAAGCCAAAGAAACCTCATTTATGAAGGCACACATGTATACATGAAAATGCCAAGTCAGCGGGTGGTCAGGGAAATGGGAGTTGTGTGCCAGAGGTGCTGACCAGAAAGCCATCCCTTCAGCTGCCCAATTCCAGAGCAATTCCAGAAGAAGCAAAAGTTCTCAGTCATACAAAAGCAATGGACTATGTCATAAAATAAAGTTACCATGGTGTAATTCAGAAGTATTTTATCTTAAAATCATCATGATTTGGATTTTTTAAAAACACTGTTGTTTAAGCAAACAAACAAACAAAAACAACTGAGAGTAAAACAAACTCTTTCAGGCTGTCTAAATAACTCAGAATCAGCCCTCGCTCTGAACTTCACTGTGCTGGGTCCAAGTGTTGGCTCCAGGGCCAACCAGTTCCGTGACTTAGAGAGGTCTGAGTCTGCCCTGGCGTGATCGTGACGGGAGGGGACACCTCCAAATGTACACCTATGGCATGGCTGCTTTGGAAAACTGGGCAAGATAAAGCCCATAAGAGCACCAGGACTAGGGTAAGGAGGCACTTTCTTCAACTTTGCCCTTCAGGCAGCTCCCATACCATCCCACCACCCAGCCCTGCCCAGGAAGCAATTTGTCTATTACATGTTATTATTTTAATCACACATTACCAGACAGTTCCACCATCCCATCAGCTCTTTGTGCAATGACCTCTTCTCCTATTTGGGAACATCAATCTTTTGATGTAGGACCCCATCTTTTGATGGGGCCCTTTTAGCCCATAGCAGTGAGGGGAACAGATGAAATCTCTCCTGATTTGGGGGGAGGTATTTTTAATGTTTTTCATAACAGGCACCAGCAGGTCTGACAAGCCCCATGGAAGGGGTTATTTTGGAAAGAGCACCAAGCTGTCTGTCTAGGACTAAATATAAGACAAGAGGCAAGTACCGGGCAATATTTAGACAGCCCCACCCAGGACAGTGGCAGCTGTGGGGTGATGACCAATTGCTGTAACTTTGGCAGCTCACCAGAGAGATAGACTGGGGATTGCTCATCACTTAAATGAGTTTAAAATTTTAAAGAAGTTGACTCAGAAGGTCCCTTCCTAGATGGCAAATCCTTGGAAGCTGATGACTGGAGCTGGAGCAGGCTGTGCCTTTCAGTCATGTCTGTTAATATCCCAAGAGGAGGACCTGGTGCCCAGACTCAGACAGCAAGGCCAATCTGAAGATCACAAACACAGAAAGGAGGGAGAGACTTCTCAAAGAAGACAAAAATTTCCCAAACTGCTTTAGGAATCATTCCCAAAACAACTATAAATTGCCACAGGCTCTCAGGTCCTGCCACCACTAAGCTTAGGTCTGCATTCAGGAGGCTCAAGTGACAATTTATAGTGTGCTTGGTTAAGACAGGACAAATAGCTCCCAAAATACCCCCTCAGCTAGGCTTCCCAGCAATGTCAGGGTCCTCAGGGCTCATCTGCTAGGTGGAAAGGTAGGTTTAAAATCCTAATCCCCTTTCAGCCATCTTCCCAATTATCTTTGACCAAGATATCCCTGTATCTTAGGTAATGATCTGTTTACTTCCACATTCACTCATTTATTCAAACTGAAATAATTACCGAGGTCCAGATATGCTCCAAGCACCAACCTAATTCTAAGAATGCAGAAATGAATCATAGATTGTCACTGTCCCTGCCTTCAGGGCATTCTTGGACTGACTGTGGCAGCAGACTCCTAACACTAAGGACATGAAAGTATTAGACCTGTGCAGTATCTTATGTTCCCTGCTACCAGGCTCCTCCTCCTATATCTTGGAGACTCTGCTGGGCCTTCCATGACCTCAGTGTGGGTCATGTGAGAAGATGAAAAGATTACAACCCAGGGGCCAGAAACTGGGTTCTAATGACCAAGTCTACCCCCACTTCCTGTTCTGCAGCTTTCTGGAGACTCCCAGGGTGCAACTCTCTTCTAGGCCAAAGTATATAGGCACCAACTGCCTCCCGGAAGCTCCACATCCCCTGGTGATGTTCATCCACCAGGTCCTCCAGGCTGGAGAGCTGTGGTCAGGGTGCCAAGTGTTTGGGGGAGTATTTATGCAAGTGATTTAGAAACAGCCTACTACAACATTTGGCAGGCAAAATAGTACTTGAAAGAAATCCCCCGGGCCTGCTAACAGCTGCAATCACTGACTGGTCACACATCCTCTTGCCTCCCTTTTTGCCACTGTCTCTGAATGAGCAGGGGCAGCATGAGGTACAATGGCAGGCTCTGAGGCACAGCAGAGACATTCCTACAGTGTGCTGGGGACAGTCGCCTGCTTGGAGACTACAGAGGACAGGAAATAATGATAAGATGAGGCCCTGCAGGCCATCTCTCCTCTCCCACCCCAAGTACAAGCTGCTTACTAGGCAAGAGAAATTGAAACAGGGCTAGGGTGGAGAGAACACACCCCAAAGTGGAGTAGGCAAAGCCCTGGAATCACACAGACCTCACCTCCCTCATCCCTTGTGTGTCTGTTTCCAAACTCAGAAACAGGAGTACAAGTTAGTATTTTCCCGCCAACCAGAGCTTTCCTAAAGAACAAATAGGGTAGTAGCCAGGAAGCTCTAGACATGATGCCTTGCACCTAGCCAGTGCTCACTCATTCATTTATTCTTTCAGCTAACACATATTTTCCTAAGGTCCAGCACATCTGTTCTCACTAGAGGAACAAGGGCAAACACTCAAATGCACAGGTGGTGTGGCTCCCTCCCTCTTGGTGATCATGTGCAAGAGGAAAAGGCAGAAAACAACATGGAGAAGCAAGCTGGTCAGCAAGTGTCATCTGAACTATAGAGGAAATGCACCAGTGTTGTGACAGGCTGATGGATGAGAGGCCGAATAGGAGGCATTAGATAAGCTGGACCTATGAGGTAAGTGACATCTAAGCCAAAAGCTAAGAAGGAGAATGGCTAGCCAAGGAGAGCACAGCATGCAGGGGCAACAGGAAGGCTGGAAGGGGATCCACCTGTCATGGGGGTGGGGAGTGGGCCATGCCCTGGAGCTGAAGTGGCAGAGGGAAAGGAGAGAGATAGAAGATATGGGACTATAGAAAGCCCAGAAACCCAAGGCAGGGTTCAGAATTCAGGGCATGCGGGTGTCCAGGGGACATATGGAAGTCGAAGTGCTGACGGTAGAGGGGGTCACAGAATGGTTGTCACCATCCAAGGAGGGCTGAGAGTGCCAGTCCATCACCAATGACTTCAAATGTCCCCAAGTTTCCTCCAGCCTTTTTTCTCTTCTGGGGAATGTCCCCATGGTCCAGCACCAGTAGGTGTCAGCAGAGACTGTGAAGACTATTCCCTGAGAGGGGCAGGAAGAGACAGACAGGATGGGACACTGGAGGGCAGCAGAGCCCTTGTCCAGCCCAGGTACCACAGGGCCCAGAGATATGCTTGTTCATTCTACTCAGCAAACCTCCCTTCCTTCATTCCATGCCACAAATGCTGTGTACCTGGCATCAAATTAATCCTGGGCATAAAAGTATTGGACAAAATGACAAGCTCTCTGTCGTCAGGGAGCTATGTCCAGCAAAGATTATAATAAGCAGAAAGTGCTGAGGCCAGAGCTGGATGAGGGTGGGAGGGCACCACATGGCTGGAGGGCCAGAGACATCTCAACCAAGATCTGAAGGAAGGATGGATGGAGGAAAGTGGAAGAAGACAGGAAGAATGAGGTCCAGGCCTGGGTCTGGAAGGTGGAGAAGCATGGGTGATACATCTGGAGAAAGGTCAACAAAGGGAAGAACAAGGATGAGATGATGGGAGAAGACAAATGCCTTGGGGACAGGGTGCTAAGGGGCCCTGGTAAGATGGATCATGCTGCCTAGGGGCAGTGACAGGGCAGGGATGGAAGCAGAGAAACCAGCGAGGAGGCTGCCTTAAGGCCAGGGGAGGGATGATAGTGGTCTGTGTCCATGTGATGGGGTAGACTTTTTAAAGTCTACTATAAAAGCAGACTGAGCAAACTTGGGCAGTTAAAGATTAGATGTGGAGCATCTGAGAAAGAGCATGTGCTGTCTGTGCCCGGGGAGACTAGACCTGTACACCTATACGCCTGACACTTAACATTTGAGATCTGTTAGATGTTCACAAAGCATCTGGATCTCTAAGCCTAACTGAGATTTCAAGATCCAGGTCCCAACTGGGGATTGCAATTTGGAAGTTGTTGGTGCACAGACAATGTTTAAAGCACTGGAGTGGGTGAGATCATTCTGAGATGGAGTGAGAGAGGAAAAGAGGTCTGCAAATCAGATCTCAGACCTCCAACACCAACAGGGAGGAGAGGTGAAGGGCAGCCAGCAAAGGGGGGACAAGAAGGAAAGCCAGTGAAGTAGCAGACAGCCAGGGGAGAGCAAGGCCAAGGTGAGTAGAAAGAGTGTTTCTGGCACAGGGAGCAGCACGCAGGACCTGTGCAGATGTCACCTGAGAAGAGAGCACCACACAGATCTCACTGGAGTTGCTTCAAAACCAACTCTTATTTTCCTTACTGGCCTTCGGACACTTTGATGCCCCATCATGTCATTCTCTACTAAAGATTGATGAGTAGGCTTTCTGGGAAAGCTTCAGG